TTTATCATTTTCTTTATCATTCTGGTTCATTCTGGTCTACTGAATATTTTCAGATAGAATTGTTGCCATTTTTCAGACAAAAAATTTCAGCACATGAAATTTCAGTGCATCCCTACCAGAAGCAGTGTAAATACACTTCTCAAACAAACTAGCATTTTGGCACATTGTCCACTGAAGAGAAAATATCACTTAAAAGAAGACAACAAGTCTCCCTCAGAATCCAGTGTCATTAGCTCTGTTAGCTCATTAGCCCATCGGGTGAGGCAGCCTACATTACTCACCCAACAAAAACCTGCCCATTTCATTTTGATATTTTTAAAAGCTAAAACATCTTCAAATGTATTCCTGCAAAATTTCTGTGCAACACCAGTGCTGTCACATATTGCCCGGTTCTAAGCTGTGCCCAGTCTTTTAAACCATGCCTGACAGTATCTGAGGGGTTAACAGAAGTGGTTGCCAGACTGCAGCTGTAGATCTTTGGGAAAGTACTGTGTGAGGATGAAGTCTTCCACTGAGATTCCAGACTACACAATCCCAATACAAATATTTTAGATAAACACTCTTCCACTATCCTCCGACTGACCCAGACATGTCAGAAGTCCGTGGACTGGAACGTGTTTGTGTGTTTGCTGTGTTTTCCCTGAGCTTCCTCTCTCTGCGTTCCTGCTTCTGTCAGCCACGTCACAGGCGGTAATAAATGAAGGCAGCTGATCATGCGGGATTCACGGCTGTGCGTCCAGTCGCCATTACACCCAACGTGATTCTGATCAAAATTGAGCCAATTAAAGTTCGTTACCAGCTCTTCTGCTCAGCCCAACCTTGTCTGAAAGCAGATGGAGGAATGGAAAGATCCCTGAGGCGCTGAGGTGTGCCTTAGTGCGATAACGGCTCCAAGTACCGTTATCTCTCCCAGGCTAACTAAGGCCCAGCTCATGGCTTCCTCCTTCTCCTTACCTCTCTGTGGAAATTCTTAATTCAGATGAGCCTCCTTTTTTCAGAAATGGAGATGCCTGGGGAGGGGTTCAGCACCTTGGACAGCTTCCCCATGCCCAAGCCTCTTTCAATCCCATCCCAATTATAAAGAGAGACAATTTCTTCTCCACCCTCTGGAATCTCTCCATTCCACTCAAGTCCCACTCCTCTTTTCGTTTTCTTATTCTCCATCTCCTTATCTCTTTTCTAGTGCTGGGTACATACACTATATGTCCAAAAGTTTGCAGGCATCTGCTCATTCAGTTTTTCTTCAAATCAAAAGATTAATAGGGAGTTTGCTGCAGTAACATCCTCTACTCTTCTGGGAGGGCTTTACACTAGATGTTGGAACCACAAAAGCATTAGTGAGGTCAGGTACTGATGTTGGATAATTAGTTCTGGATCACAAACGCCTCTCCCACTCATCTCAGAGGTATAGGATGGTGATACATCACTCCAGAGAACACAGTTTAACTGCTCCACAGACCAATGCTGGAGGGCCTTATACCCCTAGAGCTGAAGCTTGGGTACTTTTGGACATGCAGTGTCCACACAGCTGGTTTAGATCAAACAGTTTTATTCTGTGCTGCTTCTCTTGGAATTACACCAACGATTGAAAAACGCCAAGCACTGACCAGACAGAGACACATTTCCTGAATTGTCCTTTCAAAACCCCCCCAGCAATTGACAGATTGCAACTGGCAATGTTTTTATTACCTATCAATATCCCAAAAACTAAAAAAATCAGTACTGCTGTGTGACATCAATATTAGTAGACTCACTCAACCCCCTTCATATTTATATTATCCTTCTCCTTCTTTCCTCTGTTTCTCTCATAAATATGCCGTACACTCTTAACCAAACGTCCCTGCAGACTGGCCAGTACTGTTAGACTTGCTGATATTTCAGACCTTGACTGCTGCTAATCGTTATGCGTTAGCAATGTGTGGAGTAATTATCAGCACTGCTGACACTAGCAATCTGGAACATGCCTGTGTCAAAGCACTATGTTTGGAGGAAAATTTATAGTGTATATATATTTATACACATTCAGCAGACAGAAAAAGAGATGCAACATATGCTGTGCCATCCTGGGAGCAAGCCGGCGAAAAAGAGTCTCCTGCAAACATCAGCAAATTCATCAAGCTTGCATTATGTATTAGTATATAATATAAGTATCATCAAACTGAGTGACAGCCTTGAACAAAAAGAATAGAAATATGACAGCCTGGGCGTAGTTCATCTCCTAAGGCGAGGCTTTACATGTTCAGCACTCCAGTGAACATTATTCAGTTTGTGTTTGTGTACTCTACAGAGGAAATGAAGGTCATTAATGTGTGGATTAAATCTGCATTATTTCATTATCCATTAAAGCACACTCATGAAAGATTCTCTTATCCTCTTTAAGAGGTAAGCTTTTGTATGGCACAGAGAAAAATTTCCCTGCTACAAAAATCAATAACATGTCTCAAATTGTGCTCTCCGAATGGTCCCTCAAGAGGCCGAAAAGGAGAACACAGAGCATCATGTGACACTGCTGCTTCCACCGACGTTACAAACAGAGCTATTGCAGAGTCTATTGACTAAGCATCAAGCCTAACGGCAGGAAATCATTTGAAGTAACAGGTTGAAACAGGAGGCCGTCCTTTACGGAATCTAAAACAGGTGTGTTTATTGTTGTCATGAAGGGTTACATGCTGTTTAATGTACTATGCTATCATATCATAACCTTATACCACCTTCACAATAAGGTATTAGCCTAATCATAGACAAAGGATGTCTATTATTTACCGCTGTTTCTCAGTGACACATCATTGACTGCAACATTCATGTCCTCTACATTAAATCTCATCCTTTAGTAAAGGAACAGGGATTTCATTATATGTGGCTAAACCACAAAGACATTTTATGTGGATAAACCTCTGAAATCTGCATGTAACCAGCTAGCAAACATCATCTCAGCCAATCTGTCTGTTGTAAAGTGACTATTTTCTTTTCTAGATAAAACTATTATGGACCCTTCTATGACAGACAGATGGACTTAATCAGATTTTTGATTAAATTTAATCCACATTTTATCATCTGCAATACAATAACTGCCAAGATGCATGTCCAAATGCTGTTAGAGAGGCTGGCTTAATTTGGGACATGGAATAAGGACTGACATTAGACTAAACTGCAGTGTTAGTGGTGAATGACCATTTCATTTTAGTCCAAGACGAGGCTTAATCCATGTCAGGAAAACTGTCCCTGTATGTCCAAAACCTGCTCGTCCAACGTTTCTTCTGAAATCAATAAGATTAATAGGGAGTTTGTCCCTCCTTTACCGCAGTAAAAACCTCTAGTCTTCTGGGAATGCTTTACACTAAATGTTGGAACATCTCTGGGAGGATTTGTTTGCATTCGGCCACAAGAGCATTAGTGAGATCAGGTACTTATGTTGGAAGAATAATTCTGGTTCAAGCCACTCTAACTCATCCTACATTTATTCAGTTGTGCTCCTTCACTCCATAGAATGTAGTTCATCTGCTCCAGGAGTGCTCTATACTCGTCTAGCTGACACTTATTATGGGCATGGAGACCTTCTGCTAATGTATGTTGCCCCAGAGCTTACCATTCTATTGACAATGCTTTTCTATGGTTATACAAGACGTGTGTGCACAAGTGTCAGCAGTAAGTGCACCTTAAAGTGGATGGGGGGGGGTCTAGATTCAGTATATCCATCCTGTAACACAACAAACATTTAACCCAAAGAATTTTCATTTTTATACACTATTCCATGAAAGGAGATTCCTTCAAAAGCCACTGCACAACCTCTTCAACACCCAGCAGTTCAACATAAGCATCAGCAACAGAAAAGGGTGAGGAATTCATCACCAGGAGACATTTCAGATGCACAAGTGTGTCCGAGGGCTTAGGGGACTAAATGACTGGAGCTGATTTACTGGGCAGTACGTATCCTCCTAGGCTTTATAAATCCATGTGACACACAGGAGAAACCAATGCTGATGAGAGCTTTAACGTTATGCCCTCATTGTTCTTCAAATGCTCAAGACAGAGAAGATGAAATAAAGGAGAGTTCACATTCCCCCGAGTTGAGCAGTGTGCCCTCATCCAAGGCAAAATTATTCCATTGCATGCAAATCACTGTCTATTGAGGAGAAGCCCTCACTTCAGCTCCACTGATGTGAGCAGAGCTAAGACACTGGAGAGCTCATTCATTCAAAGCACTGGTCTGAATAGCAGAAGAGAAGTAGCCCACCGCGCGAAGGCCACCCAGAACTGAGCTGCCCCGATAAATGCTTAATCATCCATACACATTTTCAAAGTTTTGCTGGTCATCCACAATATCCTTATCTGTCCAGAAGGAGAGCTGACATGGTCCTCGCCATCAACATCATCACATACTGTGGATGCAGCTACACAAGTTCTCCCACCAACGGTCCTACTCTGGGTGTGTCTCAACCTCGCATTTATTTATTTATTTATACATCTATTCTCCACCAAGTGTAGCAGCTACACTGCCTACAGTACCAAAGACAAACCATACATTCAAACACCTTCTCAGAAAGATTAAAGGATTTATATGTAAGTACTGACTGAGGCACTAACGAAACACCAGCCAGTCATTTATGTCAACATGATATAACACTACCGTTCAATAACTTCAAAAATATGAACATTAATCAACAAAAATTAACAAAAATAAAAATTCTATGTCGTCTCTATTATTAAAAAAAGAAACTTATTCAGTTCGTCAAATCTAAACAAGTAGCCTCCTCCTGAATTCGTCGTGTAAAAACTGCCACGGCGGTTTAACATTTTTCCTCAGAATGAATGGAGGGGTAAAACTTAGGAGCACGTTAGATTAGGGCAGCAGCTTTTCATAGTGAAATAATAAAAAACGGACAGCTAAATGCAATACAGTGTTTTAGAAGGTGTAATCTACAGCGACTGAGGGAACATAACAACTTAAACACAGACAGAGAGAGAGAGCGGTACAGCACCCAGTAAATTCACACACTCACCGCTTTGCTCTCCAAGAAAGACGAGCTTGAATTTCCTTAAAGGGTTCCCAAAGTCATTAGCCACGGACATGTTTGGGGCTTGTTTTGTTTCAGGGCTGAGAAACAGCGCGTGTCCCGCGGTTCAGGCTGTTTTAGCGGAGGTTGTTTGGTCGGGTAAACGCAGCTCTCCGCTGTTTCACCGCCGCTGCTGCTGCTGCTGCTCTCGCTGCTGCCTGTCAGAGTCAGTAGCTGGTGCGCATGCGCAGTGGGCTGCCTCGCCTCTCCGTCTGTCCGTCCGTCATTGTTTTCCCACCCGTTTTCGGGTAACCCCCGCCTCCTGGGCTAGGATTGGCTAGTAGTTCAGACTCACAACTTAATTTTTTGCGCTTCTAATTTTGCAGCTTTTTCGTTTTTTAAGTTATTGAACGGTGTGTACCGCGCAGCCTCTTGAATGTATGAATTGCCGCTGGTACAAGAGCTTGTACAATTGAAAGAGCTAGCTTAGTTGCATCCACAGTGTGTTTGTTTATACTGATGGCCGTGTCAGCTGTCCATTCAGAGAGAGTGGAGAACATTATGGATGAACAGTAAAAAAGGACAACATTTATCAGAGGAGCTCTTACAGCCCCTCTACTCTCTCCTGCTATCCAAATCTGTACAGTTTCTTTCTTAGTTCTGTTGACATCTGTGGAGCTGAACTCTTTGGTTCTGTGTGGGCGAAACCAATCCCAGGGCGGCAGGGCGGGGCTTCAACGTTCTAGAACGCCAGACTATCCAATCTTAATGTAGAAGGAGGGCTTGTACGAATATGGGTGGGAAAAAAAATTACTCGTCCGAAGCCCCCTGCCTGTACCACATATGACGTCATGCTGAAGAGAGCAGGAGAAACAGTAGGACCCCCCTCAGGCTTTTCTTTTTAATGAAGAAAGTGTGACGAACTCCATTTATGCTGCACACAAATCTAGACTATGGAGTTGATGTGTGTGATTTCAAGGCTTTAAGGTGTAATAAACTTTGACAGTGTGGGCAGAACACACTAATAACTGTACACAAACACCCAGTGATACTATACATCAATTTTATTGTCTTCAAAAATAATTTAGGTGCTTCTATATAAACATTATATATTGTATGATACTGCTGTGATAGGCTAAGTGTGGAGTAGTATGGTGCCACCCCCAATAAAAAAAACGGACATGAAAAAGTGCTTACATAAGGCTTGATTACAACAGTTTATGTGCAAATTAAGGTTATATTATAAAACATTTTATATCATGTACAAAAATATATATTTACAAATCTGAAGACACCCATTCTTATAAAATATGTTGACAGTAACACAGTAAAATTTCTATTGCTCTGGTTTTTGCAGGACATCTTAAATAGTCTAACTCTGACATATGACACAAACAGACAACAGATTTAACACATAATTGTGTGTTTTCACTGGACATTGCAACTTACATCAGTTTTTCTTCACATATCCAGCTACTGGAGAAGACACAATGACAAAATATCCCTCTAATCAGGAACCCACCAAATGCATCTAGCACAGCTGAACTGAAGTACAGGACACATTTCCTTCTAAATGTTTTTTTGGCAAATGAGTGGTCACTTAAGGCTTTCCAACCAACAACATAGTACTTCAGTTGCTTTATTTGAAGCTGCAAGTCTACCGAAGATTTCAAATCTTGACAAATGTATGTCACTGATCTTTTCATAAACCAGTGAATGGGGAAAAACTGGCACTAAGTCCCGAGGTCCAGTATGGCTCGCCCTTATGGAGGGTTTGTACAGGCTATGGCTGCTAGTCAGTGCAAAATGGAAGGTAAAAATAACATCCGTCCATCCAACCGTGAGGGCAGTGCCCTTTCAGCAGGGCCTTGAATGGAGATGGTTTCTGATAAGAGGTGTCCATGTTTTTGGGCTTGCAGAGGGCCCTCAGAGACATGTGTCTCCTGCAGAATGTGTGCTGATAGAAGACTGCATCACATCGGTCCCTCAGGCCTCTTCTCCAGACTGTATTCATGAGTTCTTCCAACTTTCCAGCCTATCACACCCATCAAGGCAATACCCATGACTTTAAAAGCCACTTGCAGGCCAAGATATCTGCAAACAAACAGCCATGACTATGGTCATCATCTTTATCATTACAACTATCACCATTATCAAAATTAATTATTGTTACAATCACAATCATCTTCTTTTTTTAAACATCAAACGTCCACCAATGTAAGCGCTTGTTTGAGTTTTTTTGTCAAAAATATAGAAAAAATCAGACAGTGCTAGCATAAGGGATTTAAAGTGGTCATAGAAAACTTTGCTTTTTAATTAAGAGTTTGACGTAGTATGTAAACATTATTAAAGTTTCAAAATGTACCATTTACTCACAAAAGAAAAATACACATGCAAAAACAGCTTATTTTGAATGTTTTTCTATTATCAATGTTTTTGAGATGTCACAAAGACCAACACATTACAATACATCCAGCTATTCAGCCTATAGCAGGTTAGCTTTACCCAATTATACTGAAGTTATAAGGAGCATTTCAACCAGGACTGCATTTTGAAGAAGGCACAAATCAGGGCAGCCAATCAGAACAGGGCTCATTTACATATATTAGTTTAAAAGGCACAGTAAAAAAAATTAACCCCTTTAACTGGGATAAAGATAGGTTGTAAAATGGCGATGTAAAATGAATTATGACTGTTTTTTGGTACATAAACCCAAAAAAACATCATGAGAGGACACCAGGGAGAATAAAAAGATGAAAATGTAGGATATGGGCCTTTTAAATGTCTACTTAACGTACTCACATTGGTGCAGATGCATCCATTTAAGCAAATTATGCAAGTGCTGTAAATGTTTTTTCTATACTTGTGATCGTTTTTTAAGTCTGTTTAACAAGGAAAGAATCCACTTTGTTATCACTTATCATTCTTTATTATCACCAACACAAGTTTGCTTTGTGTCAGAGACAGTTGCTAGCTTTCCCAGATAATTTTTTGTTTCCGTAAATGTCTACCATCACCTTTATCTTGGAAGTACAAAGCTGCAATGCCCATCACTTTAAGATTTTCACCCCTAACAAACCCTCATATGCATTTAGGTCAAGTGAGAAGATTCCTATACCTGTTTCTAAGGAGGTTGTTGTCATAGTAACCGCAGCCCAGCTTCGTTCCACAGACGCTTCTCCACCAAATGCATGTGGAGTCAATGGTCACCCCAAATAGGGCTGGGGCAGGCAGCCATGCTGGACACAAAGAAAAGAAAGTATGTTTTATTGGCACTTGAACAGGACCTTCTATTATCATGCTTTTGTTTTTTAAACACCAGAGCACTTTTAGCAGCATTGACTTAATGCTGGAGTGCAGGACTGTTACAGTTGTCAGCAGTATATGCAGTCTTTTAGGGCCCCCAAGCCACTACCAGGTACACACTTTAACAAGAGAACAATATTCAATTTATTTGAGAAAGAACAAATGACTAATTATAACTAATCTAATTATAACTAATTGGGGTGGGTGGGAGTACAGTGTTGTTAAAGACCCCCAAAAGTTCAAAAACGACCCGGCTGGAGCCATAAAAACAAAGAACGATCAGTCAGGTGTGAAATTTAAATAATATATAGTTGGGTTAAGACTTAACTGACTTATGTTAAGATATTTATAAATCCATTTTGCTTTATTCAGGGGATTTCTGCTCAAAAAGATTGAATTATGCAGAAATGAACAGAGTCAGAGTAGTTTTATGTAAAACGGTGCAATGTTGAGTCTGATGTGTTTACAGTGGTGGTGATAGGAACCAGTAGTCACGACGACTACAACAAAAGGCGGCCATTTTATTTACTATTCAAAACCACCAATGAACCTACATGAGTCTTCTGATAGTTTTATATAAAATGTTGATGGTCAAATATTGGTAAATCTGAAAAATAAGTTTTCTTTGGGGACTATTTTGCCTTATAACACCTTTCATGTACCTCTCCACTATAAATATATATATTTTCAAACGTATTTTAGACCAAAACTTTGTTGTAAAACTATTTTAAAACAATGTTTCAGACACCAGGCAGCATATCCGCAACCATTTTAAGTAATAGCTTTCTGTGGGGTAACTTCTAGAGATATTAAATGCTTCGGACGTCTAGTTCCTATCACCTTAACGTCTTAGCAACTAAATTATCCAGAAGTTCGGAACAATTGGCGAAATTCCCATTTAAGCTGTTTCAAATTATTCTAATTATCTTATGCATTGTGATGTATACACTGGTTGTGCATACATTATATAATCTTTTGTGACATAAATAAACATTACACAACTTGTCTGAACTTCAGTGTGGCTGTCATATGAGATGATTTGCTGTGCAGGCCTGTTGTGCACACAGTCCGAACAGACATTTACACACTGACCTGCACTTCTCTGTCTCACCACTAGGGGGAACTACAATACCTGCAGTAAAGTTCTGCTACTTTTTTCTGTTCAAAACTATTTACAGTGTGCATTCAGCAGTGTGAGCTGCACTCTCTCTGTGTAAGCATGATCAATGACCTCGTTTCAGAACTGGGCTTATGAAAGCTGACGCATTAATCTTAATGGGCAACAGCAGCTAAGAGGAGACAGATTCTTCTCTCAAAGTGACTCACACTGCATCTACAGAATGAGGCTAATGTCAGCCCTATTCAGTCCATTCTTCTCTTACATAAACACCTTTGAGACATTGCATATGTCCTCAAACCTGTCAGACGTCTTCAGCTGGAGAGGACCATCTTAAAAAGACTCAATAAGTTTTGGGTGAGATTTGCACTTACCAAGAACTCTCATGAGCAGGAACTGAACTCCAATAGCAAAAGACTTCTCCTCCGGAGGCACTGTTCTGAATCAAATTAAATACAGATTTTCAGTACAAAATATGTTTTATGTTAATGATGAAGTTACATTTATAATGGAAGATGAAAAAACAATGTTAAATATTATTTCTTGGCATTCAGGACTGTCATATATTATTATTTTATTGTATTATTAGTCCTGTAAGGGGTAACACATTTTTTTCCAAAGAAACTTTTTCCAAAAGCTTTGTGTTTAATTTTTTAGAATTGAAAGGGCAAACCATTTCTTTTGGGTTAGAGTTGGATTTAAGCTCAGAAATATTGTATTACTTATAGGTACTTTGCATTTGATGAATTTAACATATTCAAACAAATAAAACATAATATATTAAATGTGCCATAACCATGGTCCATGTCCAAATGTGTTCTCTGTAGAGCATGTGAATTTCTTTCTACAAAACAGGTAATTTCACCAGGGGTGGCCAAACTTTACATATGGGACATATTATTATTACTTCTAGGTATTTGTATTATACATAATACATATGAGGTACACTGTTAAAGCACATGGGCCTGTTACCCTTTACATTGTATGTAAATTTCATGATGAATGGACTAAAAGAAATGACCTAAAATAATTTAATAAAGAAGTCTGGTTCCATTGACTTACATTAAAAGTAAAGTAGGCTTTTTCCTTCTCCTGTAAAGTTACAATTTTCGAGATACGAGGTTTTCTTCAGACAACAACAATATACACTGGGGCAGTGCCCCTCTTGTTACTGGGGTGGTATCCTCAAGGCTACATCTCAGTACATTTAGTCAGGGAACATAATTGTACCATAATCCACTGAAATTATATTTTCTAAGTTGTATTGACTTCACACACCCTGTTTCGTCTCCAAGCTTTTTATTTTATTATTCTGTTTTAAAACATTAGGTTATCAAAATATACAAATATGTACTTTTCACCTGGAAAAAACTTTAATTTAATTTAAGGCACACAGTTGGACCTTAAAACCACTGTTGTACCTCTGAGGGTACATTTACATTGTTTGTACTTTGATGAACGAAAAATGTACCTGAACAGAACTTTATTTCTAAAAGTGAATGCACTTAGAGAGAAGGATAGAGAAAAGAAGAATAAGGGAGAATAAAAGAAGGAGAGTCTCATACCTGAGCACCATCATATAGATAGGGTTGTGTGTGAGACTGGCTATCATGGCTGCTACAGAGATGAGGAAGATGACCGGGAGGAGCAGGTGTGGGCAGCTGTTGGCACATGGGCCTGGCCGGGCACTGCCCTCACCAGCACCCGCCATGACACACCTGCAGTTACTGAAGGACTGTGTGGACAGGGAGAGGGAGCTGTTACAGTCAGCACTGTGCATCTCTAGCCTTAAATGTTCAACCAATGGATTAGGCACTGGGCAACAAATCTAAACACAGCTACTTTGATTCCATTTTAAACAATTAAACTGCAGGAGCCTGTATGCATGACCTCACCTCGCTCTCACTCTCAGAGCTACATAACTTACTGGTAGCATTCAGTAGTTACTTAATAATACACTCTTAGTAAAAAAGCAATCTATATAGAACTGATTTATATGGAATAAGGTTTCTTTGAACAATACTGGAACCTTTTGTGGTGCTATATAGAATCATTTAAAGAACCATATACAACTGGTTTTCTATCATATGGAAGAAACATTTGGGCCTGCAAAGAGCCGGTTATGTATTTAAACAGTTCTTTGAGTGTTCATGGTTCTAGATAGAACCCTTGAAGAACCATTGGCACATCTGCAGTTTAAGGGGTTAAAGTATGAGACCTTCTTGATGCTTTCCCTTGTTTAATTTATAATTACAATGAGCAAAATATTCCACTGGAGGGAAATATCAATGAAAATAAACATTTCTTAACAATAACAAGTATGTATTGTGTAATGATGTGAGGTGAAGCTGGGAAAATGACTTGCTTTTGGACAGTGGCCTGGAACTGAGAAGAAGTTAGTCTAAAATAATAAAAATAATAGAATTATATCCTTTAAATAAAATTGACAGTAACACTCACTAGTAATGGCTTTGAGTCATCAATAGCTGATCATTCTAATTTGCCTGTTTGGACAACTGACAGAAAACCCAACCTGTCCAGAACTCATTTGTTCCCTCCATTCTTCATTTTAGTGGCCGCTGGGTATCATACAGGCTAAATGAATATGAATATTATACCAACAGCCTGTCCTGTAGCTCCTGCACTAATTTATTTACATGATGTAGCAATTTAAGCTTTCTTTTTTAGCTCCACTTAAAGTGTTTCCTCCTGTGTACATGGCTAATTAGGGATCAATAGGACTTGGCCATTGATTAGTCAATGGAGCGTGCTCTGTCACTTGCTTTCTTCAGTCTTGCTGACCTTTACAAGCTACCAGTCAACTCCACTGATGAACTAAACGAGCTCCAACAGAATGAAATCTATAATCGTAACTCGTACCTCAGGCCAGGGTCCAAGCTTAAAAAGCATTACAGCTTGACTAATGAAGCAGCCACAAACAAAACCAAGACTAAGTGTTTTCTAGAGGGTTTCTGACTCAGTAGGTTGTTTTGCAGGCTGAAGAGATTCAAGCCTCTCACCTGGACTCGAAAACCACTGGAGTCCAGGGTATAGTTGGTGCAGCCAGCATGGCAGGGTGAAATGTATTCGATGTTGTCAGCTCCACATACTGGGTTAAAGACACTCTTGTGACAGGAGCAGTTTGTGTTGCAGGTCAGGACTGGCCTGTAGGACATCAGCAGAAGAAAGGCATGGTTAATCTCCAACCACAGTGGAACTACATACACAGTTCACAAGAATGCAAGTAAGGAATATGGGTGCGTGTCTTTGTTTATCATACGTTTTCAGAACAAAACTGTCTTGACTTTATAAGAATAACAGATTTATTTGTGACTGATGCAGTCAAGTGCTACACTGTTGATATAAGTTAGTTTAGATAGATAAGCTCTATCTGTAACTTGTCATCTCTCTCCGCATTATAGCAAATGCATTATTAATATCATCTATCCACTGGCCATGATTTTCTCAAGACATGTTCTGCTTGATGTCAATTATCCATGCTACCCAGTTAACTGGAAAAACATAGCATGGTATTTATTGCTCAAAACGCCTTCCCATATCTCTGCTCTGAAACTCCCCTCAGCCGAGACATTACGGAGAGCACTACAAGGAGCCTGAAGGAACATCTCATGAAATCACTGTTTATCAAATGGAGGAATTCAAATAAATATGGAATAGGAGTAGCCTTTCATTAGCTTTTTCATCTGAATGTGCTGTCATAAATCAGTGAGTATTTTCGGTCAAACGCAGAAAAGCAAAACAAACATGCAAAACACTACAATGGATAAATAAAAAAAATGCTCTGTTAATTGTCTCTGTAATTGTGTGTTCTGTGGAGCCTGGGCTTTTATGTCAGCACTGAGTGCAGTTTTCTGTGTAAACTCCACTGTTTGTAAATCCTTAGGCTTGTAAATAGCATTACCCTCTCCACTCATGAGTCTGAAGAGTGAACGTTTGCAGCTGGTTATACAGTCAAAATGCTCTGCAGAATGTTTAGTGGTTTCTCAGTAAACTAGGCCAGTCCTTTAAAACCTCTTTATTCACATGGCATTGAATTAAAGGGAATTTGCAATTTTACATAAAAATGGTTAGTATTGTATTGTTTGCCTTTATAATGTATTTTAGGAACTTAAAGCAGCAGCTGTTACAAAGATACATTCAGAGAAAACTGCAGATTACTCCTTTGTTAAAGTCCTGATGAAGAACTGATGGTTTCGTGGAAACCTTTAACAAGTTGTATCAAAATAGGAATACATAATATAATCATGGCCAGTGAATCTGATATAATATACTCAAATCACATACTGCCCAAGCACTTTTTAATCAGTTATTTAGTGAATCTGATGTTCTCACTGGTTGCAGATGCCACCACTTTAGACCCTAAGAAGTCATAGTTATCACTGGTGGTACAAATATATGTATATATATACACAGATCAGGCATAACATTATGACCACCTCCTTATTTCTATGCTCATTGTCCATTTTGTCAGCTACACTTACTACATAGGTGCACTTTGTAGTTCTACAATTACAGACTGTAGTCCATCTGTTTCTCTTCATACTTTGTTAGCCCCCTTTTACCCTGTTCTTCAGTGGTCAGGACCCCCCATGGACCCTCACAGAGCAGGTACTATTTGGGTGGTGGATCACTCTCAGTACTGCAGTAACACTAACGTGGTTATGGTGTGTTATGGTGTGTTAGTGTGTGTTGTGCTGGTACGAGTGGATCAGACACAGCAGTGCTGTTGGAGTTTTTATATATCTCCCCATCTCCCCATTTTGTTCCCAGTCATTTCAAAATCCACCCACTAGTTAGGTCTACCCCATCACACCATGCTATCAATCTATGAATGCTAAACTGGGAGTATGAAGGTTAGCATGTGCTTCCCCCAAGACATGTGAAACTGCTGCTAACACAATGTCATTAGACAGCTAACCACGCTTGCCAATTCCGCCAATGTTAGCTAACAGACGCCCACATTAGCATCACAGTAAATGATGGGGGGAGAGGGAGGGCCCTCCTACCCCCTCTGAGAAAGTAGGGGAGAATTACGCTCTCCTGGACTCCCAGTAGCGGATGACTATGACATTGTGGGATTTCTCACATGTAGGTCATTGAAACAAGCTGAGAAATTCCGTCAACAGTGTGGATTCGAAACATTTTATCCATGCCACATTTGTACTTGTACACAAAAGAGGACACATTTTATTATGATTTGAATCTGATGAAAAGGTACTGCTGTATGTACAGTCTTGATTTGCTGAAACGTTTTTATGTTTTGGCCACATTTTTGTCATTTTGTGGAAACAAATGGAAAAAATCCCAGACTCAAATCACTTGATATAAAATGTAAACTGAATGTATGAATTGTGTTTTAATTAATGAATTGTAACTGTAATTCCTTTAAACTGAAAACAACAATAATAACATTAGATTTGTTCATGGTTCATATATATCAAACCTATTGTGAGGGGATATTTTCCCAGGCTAGCTCTTGCATTACTAGCTTTCTGCACAAATTGCAAGTGATACAATGAAAATGCCTTTTGAAAGTTTTTAGCGATGAAGATATTTTATGGACTAACAATTTCCTGCAAAAACTGTTCTTGCATAGGTTTTAATTTTTTGATTTAAAAAAGTTTTATTTTCTCAAGCATTCAAACTTAGCTACTGTCTCTTTTTTCTCTGTATGAAAAATTATGCTCAAATAACTTAGTGTCAAAAGATTACCTTGCATCAGTGACTTTACCAGGATACCATGTAGACGACTTATGGCAAATAAATTTTGACAGTGCATGGGTTTCCAACCCTGGAGTACTCCAGTCCTGCATATATAATGTTTTCCCTGCTCTAACACTTCTGTTACCTGCTTTCACACTGGAAGGGCTTCCAATCTCTTTAAACTGCAAGAGTGTGTAACATAAGCTTACACTAGCCTACACTAAAATATCTCACTCTCAACTGACACATATTTATAGCTATTACAGCATTATACTTGTTACTGAATAATAGCCGTAAGGTTAATCACTGAACAGCACCCCTAACAATTAAACTGTTAATTAACTGATTATTTGGATCAGGTGTGTTAGAGCAGGAGAAACACTAAAATGTGCAGGATGTAGGTGCTCTGGGCTGGGAATTATTTGGTTAGACAGGGTTTATATTATCAGAAGGCTGCTGCTCACCCGTGATCTCCTTTATGGGGGTAAACACCAGACACAGTTTGGGTGGGACAGCCCATGAAGAACAGTGGGATACAGAGAAGCACTGAGATAGAGAGGAACACTACGGCGAATCGAGGGATGGCTTTGAGTGACAGGCCTGTACGCTTCATAATCACACCCCCCAGTAACATCCCAAAAGCCACGGATGGCAGATTCACAGCACCTGCAAAAACAACACGAACAAGCAGCCATGACAATGCAGTCAGATTGTAAAGAGCAGAAACAGTAACTTTTGTACTCTATGTAACCACATGTACAGAAACGTAGTATCCTTGTCCAAAGTATCTTGAAGTACATGAAAATGTCCTATGAGGATATCAGTACTCAAAATCACAGTTTCAACTACATCTAGTAATTGTTGCATTGTATAAACACAGAAAACATTGGAATAATTTCCCCAGAAAATGTATTATTGTATTTCTATATGACACCAATAAAATCAGTGTGTTGTTCTAGCAAATGCTTTGCAGAAATATTGTAGCAGTAGGCTTTTTACTTCCAAAGTGACTCATGTAATAGCATCCAGTTTTCAGAATCATTAAAATTTAAATGTTTTGATTATCATTGAGTTTTACACCACAGTATACCACTGAAACAGGTAGCTGTGCCATCCCTGATTTAGACCACCTCTCTGGAGGCTTGTAATCCAAAAAAATTAAGCAGGTTGTTCGACTTGCTAACTGAATTCTATTTGATGGAATGGAAATACGTGGCTTATTTAAACAAAGCTGATACAATGAGTGTGATGCAGTTACTAACCAATCAGCAGGTTGCCATATGCGGCGGAGGTGCTATACTGCCGCTCCAGAAACTTGCTGAGGAAAGTGGCAAGTCCAGCCATCACAGCGGAGAAACAGCACTGAGTCAGAACCAGCAGCAAGAAGAGTGGACTCAGCAACAACTGCACAAAGAGCCGTGGAAACACTGAGCAGAAAACACACAGACACACAAACAGGAGGTCAATTGCGCACACTTAGCTTGTGAAATCTCAAAAGAAAAGGGAGGTTCTGGAGCAGCCACACATGAGTCTAAGGTCACCCAGTACCAAGCATCAGCAAAAGGGATACACAGCCTCCCAGCTTTGGGCTGTGAAATAGTGGAACTGTGTTCTCTGGAGTGATGGAGGCTCTTACTGCAGCAAAGAGGGGACAAACTCCCTATTAATAACCTTAATTTCAGCAGAAACATTGGATGAGCAGATGTCTATAAACTTTTGGACATATAATGTACAGTGCTACATAATATATTCAAAATACTAGTGTGATTCCATCTCTACATATTGCAATATATTACAGATGCATCAGTGAATCAATCATGTGATATGGTTAAAGATTAGCCTGCATTATTGTGGCCAAAAATGTACTTTTGTTGTACTACAAGAATACTCACAGAAACTCATCTGGAACTGTGATTTATCAGGAAGCACACAATGAACAGTAATAAAAGCAGAAGGCTCATTTGCAGCCTCCTGAGATACCAGTATTATAAAAGCCAGTGTCACAGTAATAATTAACAATTGATACATCATGCAGCTCTACTCACGCACAAAATCACAAACAAATGCAGTCAATACAGGCCTTTTAGGAAACCATAGTGTGTATACTGCTCAGCAAAAGTTTAGAACCTTTGGGTGGTTTTATGCACAGAAACAGTCACTATTCTACTTAACATGACCATTTTCCAACCTCCTTTTTCCTCAGAAGTAAACAGGCTGTCTTATGTTACTGTGTCTTACAGACTGATCTATGTAAATGACCTCTGTTCTGATTGCTGTTCTACAGCTATTACAGAAAAGTTATTACACAAAATGATTACAGATATGTTGTCTCATGCCTGAGATGTTATTTTATGTTTGTTTTGAGATAGGATTTTGGCCTAAACCTAAACTTCTTTACAAAAAGCATCATGGTCGAGAGGTACAGGCAGGGTGTTTTTAAAGTTAAATAGTTCCCATCACCACCACTATTAAGAAATTTGAGTTGGTAAATTTCTCTCCAACAAACCATTTCACATCAAACCCATAATAGTGAAAATGAAACATTAAACCTAAATTTCAAAAGCAGGCGATATGTTCCCAGTTTGTTTGAACTGTCCTTGTCCGCTTGGTTTACAAAAGTGGCCAAGCGTGCTATGGGGCTACAATACAAGCTGCCTGTACAAGAGGAGTGGGCTTACTTTTGAGGAAATCCAGCAAGGAGACATCAGAATTCTTGTGGTTGTCCTTCAAAACTTCACCCTCACTTCTAATCTCCTGCAAAACGACAAAGTAAGGAAGTGAAACAACCTTGTTTTGAAAGAAGTTTCCAACATTTCCAACACTAAACACCCAACATTCCCAGGTGGCTTTAGGCACTTTTCTTTCCTTCGAGATTTTTTTGAACAAGAACAACATTCTGAAAGAAATTAATGAAAATCTCACTTTCTTCCTTAAAATTTCACTTTTAAGGAAGAAGCAACTACACTCTTAGAAAATAAAGGTTCCTGAAAGGTTCTTGCCTTTGACATATAGTAACATTTAATTTTTATGGAACCTTTACATTTCAAATGTACAAATGTAGCACATTTCTCTTTAAGAGTGCACCCACAGTTTTTCAGAAATACATTAAACATCAGGCTTATTATGCTTAAAGGGTCCATATCCTACATTTTTCTTGTATTTTTTTATTTTTAAGGTCCATTTCTGACATGTGTGAGGATTTATGTATCAAAAGCAGTCCGGATTATTTTTTTACATGACCATTTTCCTATTTATCCTTTCAAATTAAACAGGCTGCTTTTTTTATTATTGTGCATCGTGATATATGTAAATGATCTCTGTTCTGATTGGCTGCCCTGCTTTGGGCCTCATTTAAAAAGCAGTCCAGGCTGAAATGCACGTAATTCAAGTATGAATGAGTGGATTATCATAGCTGTTTGCTTTAAACATCTTATTATTCAAGAACTACTATAAATGATTCCGTTACTCCTATGAAACTAATGTGCAAGTTCTGTCGTTATGAGCGTAAGGAACTCACATGTGAAGAAACTCATTAAATATTTCACATTCTTAGTTGTTTACTTTAGCTGTATGCATCTGAGAAGCAAAACAGACACTATCTACAGTAGATAAACTACATCTGGAGCAGATATAGTTATTATGGTTACAATGGCAGCACTCACATTCTCGACATGCATGGCTTTTGGGAAGAAGAAGTATGGAAAAGAGGTGAGAGCCAATCCCCCTGCAGAGATCAGCAAACCCATCCACCACGCGCCAACCCAGACAGGGTCATTAGGGCTCAGCTCTTTGTCTCCCACTGTGAAAGAAATGGAGAGCATTTGGGAATTAAGATTAAATCATTTTTATTGAGTTTGTAATTGAATTTGCCTCTCAAATCAGTCTTATTAATTTCCTGGTGTTTAATGTCTCTCTCCTGTCAAACATCAGCTTGTACATGTCGTCCTCTAATGCACCTGAAACCTACTGGCTCATCTCTCCAGACTACCAGCTGTGCAGCATTTCCCAGCAGCTTAGAATTCCTTGAGAGAAAAAATGCTAACCTGAGGCTGCTCATGTGACCAAGATGAATGTTGCTACAACACTATGGCGATGGTGGACAGAAGGACACTGTCCATCAAATGAGAGAACAGGCAGGTGCCCTGTCAGTGACCCCAGTGAATAATTTATCTCAGCAGTGGAAAAGCAGACCTGCAGCTGATGAGCCACTCGGGCTGAACAAGACTGAAAATACTGTCGCTGTCATTAAAAATGTTATGCTTATTGACTGCTTGCTTTCTTTCTTTTCTTGAAATCAGTTGAAAAAAAAAGTTGCTGCCTTGCGAAAACTGATATCTTAGCAAGTAAAAACATCTTAAATTTAGTCAATATATCTAATAATTCTCATTATGAGATTGTTCTAGGAATATTATGAGAATATTCAACTTGTTTCTATACATTTTTACTTACTTTAAGTATCTTTTCTCTAGTGAAAGTGTCTTATTCCATAGGCTGATTCTTTCACTTGTTTCAAGAAATAAGATAAAACTTCTTGAAACAAGTAAAAAATGTGTAGAAATAATTTAAGTGATCTTACAATATTGAACATACAACATACAACAATCTCATAATGAGAAATATTAGATACTAGATTTAAGATGTTTTCACTTGCTAAGTAATAATTTTTTGCAGTGTCCCCTTTTAAATTGTGTACACATTTCATGACAAACAGACCAGACTGTATCCTACATTCTTGTATTTTATGTCTTCCCCTAATGTCTATACTTTTATGCATTTATGTACCTAAAACATTCAGAATGTACTTTTATATGACCATTTTCCAGTCTGTCTTTAGAATCAAACAGACTGATATTGTTACTGTGTCTTTAAGACTGATATATGTTAATGACCTCTGTTCTGATTGTATCGCACCTTATTCCAAAAGCAGTCCAGGTTGAAACACTCCTTATAATTCAGTGTGAATTGGTAGGGCTAAACAGCTGAAGGCTAAATAGGTATATTTAGCCATGGCACGTTGTTTGTTCTGTACTGTTCTATCTAATCTAACTTGCTTCATGTCACCAGATGTGCTACAGCAAGAAAAAAGCAAAAAATGTGCAAAAGGGCTGGTGTTCAGAAGCAAAGATTAAATCGAAAGAATTGAGGACTATGCTACTGAAAACCTTATACCTGCGTCAGCTTTGTCCACGTCCACATATATTCTCAGGACTACAGAACCCAAGAGGTAGCCGAATGTAGGCCCGAACACAGCCATGGCAAAGAGAATGGCTGGAGGAATAAAATACAGCAGTGTGAGAGACACAGCACTAGCACGTTGAGAAAATACAACCCATAAAATCTCATCAAACCAATAGCAGACCCCCCCCAGCTGCTAGTTATTAATGTATATGCCTTTCACAATTATCATGTATCGAGTTGTATGAGATGCTTGCAATTATTTGAGATGATTGCAATTATTTAGGAATGCAATAATTTTCCACACTTATTAGATTTCTGCAGCAAGTAGAATGTGAATTGTTTGGAGCCCCTAAGGGGCCGAGGTTAAAAAAAAAAATGCATTCCCTCACAGACATTTTCCATTTCCTTGCAAATGCAATCAAATTTGCAAGAGAATGGAAAATGACTGCGAGGGAACGCAAAAGATCTGCAAGGGATCACAAAACTATTGCAAATGAACACAATGTTGTTGCAAATATTTATTTTTCCCATTGGCACTTCAGGGGCTCTGTAGAATTGGGTGCATTAGGTTGATTAGTATTTGGGTGCACACACAAAAATATAGGGCATCATTTCAACAGTACAACCAGTGTTCACTATTAATCCAACATAGCTAGGAAGCAAGATTGCTGACGAACCAATCTGGCCACTTTTGGCTTGCACTTTAGCAAAGGTATATAAAGTATAAGAAAAGACAATTGCTAAAATTTCATGAACATAACAGCCTTACCGATGTACAGAGGCGAGTTTCCAGGCCCAGCAAAGTCATCCACATATGAGATTCCGAAGGGTTGGATTGGGACGGAGCCGATTCCGAACAGTAGCTGGGCTGTGGCCATGAGCACCCACGGCTTAGTGTTATCCACAAGCATGAGACTGTCCTGCTTACTACAACTCCTAGGAGTGGATGCATTCTCTTGCAGGGTGTAATTATCGCACATGTCCTGCCTGCTCGCTGCAGTATAGAAATAGACAAATCAGTCCAGGCATGCTACACCAAATATCATTTTATTTTAAAAAGCTGTCTACTTACAACCAACAGGAAAATTAAAATAATAATAAATAAAAATATATACAATAATAAAAACAAAAAAATATATAAAATAATAATAAAATACAACTAGTAAGGGAGAATAAGGGAAATGCCCCCCTTAAGAACAATGTCAATTTACTGTAATGCTAAACCACATCAGTCCATGAGTTCAGTGTGTACAGGATGATACATAAATCTGTACTTAATTAGGAGAAATAACCTGGAAGAGCAGCCAAATTTGGTTGCATAGCACAAAATAGAAAATCTTGTAAAGTAAGATGCCCCTCTACCTGGGGTAAGAAGCCACCCCCCTGACAAATTCTTGCATCAGTTTCTCATCAAAGTTTTACAGAATGTGTAGTTTAATGTGTTTGATTTTTTCAAAAATTATCAATCAGTACAGTTTTAAAAATATTTTAAAATTAAATTAGGTTTCTATGAATTTATGTCTATTAATTAAGTATTGTTGTGATTATGTTAATTACATGATATTATGTAAACATATTATTATTATTATTATTATTGTTATTATTATTGTTATATTATTGCTACTACAATTTTAACTAAGTGGTATAGTCACAGGCAAAAGTTTGGGTACCCCGGCTCAAATGACATTTTCTTGATTTTCTAATTTTTTTAATGTACAGTTACTGTGTATTTGCTGAATTTAACATATGGGGGAAAATACAGCACATAAAATGTGGCCTGTGCAAAAGTTATGCTGACCAATACATTAATCTCAGCAAATAAATTCTGCTCTAAAATTTGCTGAAAAAATGCCATATTTAGGTTTATTCTCTGTAGAAGATGTGTTAGCTTATTTTCACTTACTTTCAAAAAACATATAATTTGCAATTTGCAAATGACAGTGCAAGATTAAAAGAATACTACAAATTCTTTCAGTCTAATCTCTAATCTGCTGCATCTGTAGCATACAGGCAGTTAGTACAGACAGTAATTATGAGATATTTCCATGTAACCTGCTAAATCAAAACATGCTTTTAATAGAAGCCAATGTTCAGGTGCTGAAGCAGAGTTATAGTCTGTGGTAATGTAGCATACAATGCAGATGTGACCGCCAGAGATTAGTGTTATCCACACTGGAGTATTCCTTTAACTATAAGGTGTATAATAAAAACTGAATAAGCCTTCAAGAGTTAAGCTCTTATTCTATTACAGGGGTGCATAACTCCAGTGGGCTGGTGTCCAGCACAGTTTGGATTTTTCCCTACTCAACCCACTAAACACCCACTAAACCTGGCAATAAACAGACAAATGTAATCAGGTGTGTTTGAGCAGGTAAATCACCAAACTGTGCTGGCCTTGCTGTATTATATAAGGACTTCATGAAGACTGAGTAAACCAAGGGGGGGGGGTTAATGACTTGCGTAAACAGTTTGACGTCTCTTCCTCTAGGTAGGCCCAGGTCACAGCATGTGTGGTGAGGGTGGAGGAAGAGGAAGGGTGGGGGAAGATGCTAAATGAAATGCCGAGAAGATAAGTCTAATCTACCCCGCTTTCCTAAAGTGTGCGGAGATTAATGTGCTCCAGCTAATGCCGGTTTGGACACAACACCCGCAGGCTGTAAGTGTACTGTCTTCAAACCCCCAGCTTTATTGTATGATCTCCTCCTCTTCGCCTCAGTACATGATTCCTCCTCTCCACATTTCTCATCTCGTCTCCCCTGTACCCAGACGCTGCTATTCTTTTTCATATTCTTCATCTGTCTGTTTAATTTCCAATCTTATTTGTTCTAAACCCTTCTGAATCTCCTGCTGTCTACTGAGGTCATTTCTCATGTCTCCAGACTTACACGAAGAGAACAGAGATGAAGCTGACCATGGTGCAGAGGCCCTGAAGCAACTTCCTGTTGCTATTGTACAGTACAAATCATAAGGTCGCTGTCCTGTTTACAATGATTATTATCACCGGTTAATGTTATTATAAACCCCCACCTTGTTATGTCTAATCTTCTTTAAACAGAATACTTTGAGGCTTTTTAAACCAAATTGATGTAATTGGTTTTTTTATGAGTTCAGGGCCCAGAGGTCTGTCCTCTGCACACAGTGTACAAAACAATATTAAACACACACTCTCGCACAAGAGCAAGTGCACTGTCTCACACAGACAGGCCTGTTTGTATCATTTTTCAGGATGTGAGGTTGTACATACGTCCCATATGTATTAAATAAGCACCTATATGTAATAATCATTTTTACCATATGTATTATATACAAGGGCCTACATGTAATAATAATATGTTCCATTTGTAATATATATGGATATTCTACCAAATTAGTTCAGTTAAAAAAAACTTAAGTATTCAGACCTTAGAAATTGAAGGATTATAGTATGATCTATTTTTTTAATCTCAACACATTTATTGAGATAGTAATAAGCTAAATCTATACAAAATCATTTATAGGGTAGTTTATATTGTGAGGTGGCTGACACAAACACCTAAGGAAGCAACCCGCATTTTGAAGAAAATGTGTCAAGACTTGCTTTCAGTTTTTAAAGAGGCTTGCAGGGATATTTTTTCCATGCTTCTTGTAAACACTTTCAGTCTTAGAAGTTGGCTGTATTTTCAGCTTCTCACAATCTAAGTAACCCCAATTACAGATCACTCCACATCTCAGATGTCCAGTTTTAGTTACAGTGGATGTTTTCTTCTTTTCTGTCTGTCATTTTTTTTTTCTCAGTAAGGGCTTCTTGACAGCTATACATCTTTTCAGTCCCATAGCATAGAGTTGTGTTCTCACAATGGAAAGACAGAAAGAAACACCTGTGGATTTTTTCTCATCTTCAGCAAGAATGGGGCTTGATTTTCTCTTCTCTCTCAAAGATGAAAGCTTTAAGTGCTGTTTATCTGATGGTGACAGTTTGGGTGGTCTTACAGGTCTTGCACAGCTGTTAGGAGGCCCATTTTCTTTGCAGGGGAATATAATGTCAGTGACACTTTTGAGAGCCGCTGTTGTTGGGAGGACACAGCTGTAATTCGCTGGTTTTAAGATTGGATTGGCAGTATTGTGCACAAAAGACTGGACCAATATGCATAGATTTGAAATTAGACTTTGTGCTGTTTCCTGTTAAATAAATGTTTCATGTTTTTTCCAACACCAAAAAAATGAATAACTCATACATAATGGCTGTTTTGACTAGAAACTAAATAAATGAAAGAGTGGTCTCTGACTTTTTGCACAGTACTATATATGTAACAATAATATTTGGATATGTACTATGTATAATATATATACTAGCACCTATAGGTCTGGGTGCACGGTGGTCTTTACCTTTCAGGGCAGAGTTGTAATTATAGGGCTGGGACAGGAAATGTGGAAGGGCCAGGATCAGAGCACTGATGGTCATCAGAAGGCCACCCAATCCGATGACCCGAGGGCGGTGGACACGACTTCCTAGGTAACTGACAAACACTATCAGGACCGCATTCCCCACCTACACACAGGACACACACACACACACACACACACAACACTTATCACTCTGTCTGCTGAAATGGGACAAGCTACAACAGCACATATTATATCTGCTTTCTTGCTGAATCACTTAACCTCTTAAGCTCTGTATGCGGGCCTAGGCTTCAGTTTTTCACTCTCATAATTACATAACACAGGTATGTTTCATAATAGTAACTGAATAACTTCTAGCAGTTATTGAACAATACGTCTCAAAGATCAAGAACTGCTATTCAGCATGAAAAATGCGGTTTAGCATGAAAGATCAGGAATGACTGAAACAACAAGACAAAAACATAAGCGACTTTCAAATAACACTGTCCCCACTACAACATCCAATATGAACATTTACCAGGCTCTCTGTTACTACAAACTCAGAACTATTCCTTGGGCAACTGTGCCTCTGTTTCAGCACTTTCTAATTCAGGTATTAAACTCTTTGACTGCAGGCTGATTATTCATCAAATGGAGGACCAAAGGAATAATCTAACATGGGTTATGTAGCACAGATCGTTATGTATTTTGACATAGTTACAGGTTCAAATAGAACATGCTTTTGGTCACCTTTTCTTTTTCCCATAGCAACGTCATCTGACAATTATCAAAAAGATATTCCTTGTGATTCACCCTGAACTTATGGAAGTAACTTTTTTCATCATGTTTTTTGCGAATTGAGTTATTGAATAATACATCTCAAAGATCAAAAACTGCTATTCAGCATGAAAAATGCGGTTTAGCATGAAAAATCAGGAATGGCTGAAGCAACAAGACAAAAATATAAGAAACGTTCAAATAACACTGCTAGTTTTATAAATTATGGACTTTCCATATATATTATTTTAATAACCTTCTCAGTGGCTCTAATGCAGCACCCTTTAAAAGCAAAAGACCAACTTACAGTGAGAGCTAGCCAGGTTAAATTATAGTCTCCACATGGCGGAGTTAGTTTTATTTACATTGTGTTACAACAAAGCCTCTCAAAGTACACAATGAGGAGTCCACATCCCCCAAACAAATTCACATTTGTGTGTTTTAAACTTTTTGTTCACATATTCATCAAAAAACATTCCATAGATGCTGTAAATGAAACATATTTCAATTTGATCATATTTGCTGTTCTACTTTGCAGTCAAAATTACATTTGTTAGTGTTTGACAGCTTTTTTTACTGATCATATTTATTCTGAAGAATATATTTTTATTTAATTAGGTTGGAAAGCTCATCTGGTTAGAACTCATTCTGCTACTGCTAATAAACCCTGCCTATGGGTTAAGTTGTATTATTTGTACTCACACCACTTTTGGCCCAATTGTTCACAAACAGTAGATGCCTGAAACAAAGTCTGTGTTTTCATGTTGTGAGGAACTGAGGTGTGGGTCCACTTATGGGGAGAGTTTAGGGGTATAAATGATCATGAACTAAACATTACTTCGTAGCCATTAAATTAAACAAAGAGACTGACCCTTAGAGGACGCTTGCAGCATTGATGAAAAGTCCCAATTCATTTCATGCTCAGGTGGAAAGTCTTTTTTGTGGTATGTGACTCACTGGTATGACAAAAGTTTCCAGTACTGCTTCTTTAAGTACTGCTTATTATGACATCTCCCTCAGTTCCTCTTACAACCTATATGACGCTGTCAAGCTGCTGTAGGACGTTGTTTCAACATCTGTGGTGTCAGCACCCGGGTGAATGGACTCTACTGTCATGACCGTCATACTATTGCTCAGAAACCACAAATGTTGCTGGAAAAGTGAAACCAAAAACACTTCAACACTTTGCCCAGCCAGCTGAGAGGAACAGATTTACAGAAACAAACGTTCAGCTTCACTACATCACCAAATTTGGACTGGGGGGACGTCTAGATCCTCAAGCTTTCAGGGTTAATGTCTAAATGCCTCTGCATTTGAGGCACCGTTCTAAAGCTCCCCTGAAATAGAACTCGAGCAAGCAAAGGCTTTGGGTTTAAGGGTTTTTGATCCTGTGGTGTTACGTGCTGTGTTGAGGTTGGCGGAGGCTTCTGCACCTCATGGAGGGAGGAGATGGTTCCTGAGGACAGACTGTCAAGGCCATAGCGTCTCTCGATGGTGGTGATGGTGCTCTTGAAGTAAGCGCTGAAGAGCAACTGGGTGAGCTGCAGCAGACCCTGGCAGAGGACAAAAACCTGCAAAAGGAGAGAACAGGTCAGGAAAAGAGCAAAGATTACAATACCCATGAAATATACGAGACACAAAGTGCATTGCACAAACAATATAAACCTCATCTACTGATAAAATGTGCAGTCAAAAAAAGAAACTAAGCATTTAACATGTTTCCAACATGCTACATCCATGAATCAGTTACTGTCATCAAATAAGAATACCTTATTTTAAGTCCAAAAGGTTCAAACAGACTTTCACCTCTGACTCATTCTGACTTAGCTTACTCAGTGAGTAGACTTAGAAGGACATATGTTATTGTGTTTAGACCTTTGAAGAGTGTGGAGTGTTATGCAATTTTCTCTGACGTTGTGATGTAATGTATAATGTTTAAATGGCTTAGAGGCAAATTCCACTTTTCCACCAAAATTTCTGCTTACTTAAATGGTAAACAAAGTCATTCAGAGTGGTTTGATGTGAAATGCAATCCATTCTAGAAAAACTTTGAGTCAGAATTGTTCACAGTTGTAGTGATAGGGATTGGATGTCTAAAGAGAATGCCTCTAAAAGCTTCCTCACAGAAAGTTATTACATGCTGATGCCTGAGACATTGTTTATGATACTTTTTGTTCAGATATGTCATTGATCATTATCAACACAACATATAAAAACTCACAAGACATGTGTAGGTTCACTGGTGGGTTTGTACAGTAAATAAAATGGCTATATTTGCATTGTAGACTTTGCAACCCCTGGTTCCTATCAACACCACTGTAAAGAAATCAGAGTCAGTAAGTTCCTCTACAATGAACAATGAACTCTAAATGACTTTTTTTCATCTTAATTGAATTACGTATAAATTTTCAGAGAAATCACAGAATAAATCATATCATAACTGCAGGCACATGCACAGACATACCGCAAAGCAGACTTGAGCCCCTGCATTTTCAGATTGTATTATAGTATATGAAGGTATAAGTACATTCCTGGTCAGCATGTATAATAACATTATTTTATATGGGTTCTGCCATTGTTTAAGACCCTTTTGTGAATGGAGGTTGTGGGACGGCCCAGATTTCACAAGCTTCATTGCTCTTTGTTGATTCCCTGGTGGTGCAGTACCGGCTGCCTATAGAGATTTTGCCTCAGTAGCTCCAACCTTCACATTCCATAAAGTAGTTATTTTGAATAACAATGGCAAGTGCACTAATTACTGACTATCATTATCACTATTACTTATTATCATTATTATTAAAATAAAAAGCCATGGATTTATGTGAGGCTATATGAAGCTCTTAAAGAGACCACCTGCTTAAAGAGAGGAGCTAGCATATAACTCAGTCAAACAGAGCAAATGTTACGATTGCATTCCTCTGACACATGACTAAATCATTTCTCCAGATAAAGTGCCATAGGCCATAAATCTTAAATTTCATTCACTAAATGATACTGAAAGTTTTATTCCATCATTGGTATACTGGTGTTTTTCTGCGGTGCCCCCAATGTGCCATAGCCACACTTTGTATTATCTGCTGTCCAGCAACAGAAACCCTTGGTACAGCATGGCACTTTTTGTCTGGTGCGCAGTGTCCTTTAGCCGGCTGCAGTAGTCTGTCCATGCTTCTTTCTTTGGACAAAACGGATGAGACCCTCTGTCCAAAAAAGTAAGACGTAGACTCAACACCAGGGATGTCAAACTGGGGGCCAAAGTGCTGCAGATACTAGGGTTTACCCTCATCTAACGCTTTGAATTCAGTTCATGAAGGCTTTGCTAATTAGCCAATGAGCTGAATCAGGTATGTTTAATGAGGCAGCGTGCTAAAGTCTGCAGTGTTTTGGCCTGCAAGGACTGGAGCTTAACACATGTGCTTTACACTGTCCTCTGGTGGAGTATAGAGTTCAGACAGCTCATGATTGTTTAATATGAGAACGTATGACATTAGCATGAAGCTGACTTTCATGTCATAAATCCTAACTTCAATCAATTTTTCATGTCTATTTGAATATTCTAGCATTCTGATTTATGCCCAGTCATGGGCCTGCATAGTGGTGCTGTTCACAGGGAAGTTGAAAGACCTGTCTTTGTACTTTTCTTTGATTCTCTAACCAAGACACAGAGGACGCAACACCGGTCAGTGATTACGTCTTCAGCTTCAATCAGACTTAATGGGCTGCTGGAGTAAGACTGTCTGATAACACAGAGGAAACTCCCTGAAAGTGAAGGGTGGAAAAGCTCAGAAAGTCCTCATGAGAGGACTATGAGAAACTGAAAGAGCTTCTGCACTGATGTCACAATGAGCCTATCTGAAAAATACTTGGTAAGTTTGAGCCCACATTTGAAGCCACAACCACAATGAGAAAACAGAGAACAAATGTTGCACAGACTCACTTCCTCCATCTTTTGACAGCATTCGATCTCTCTACTAGACGGAAACAAGAAGAGCATTCCTAGAATCATCAAGCCTTCTTCACTCCATCAGGACTAACACAGAAGGCCAGAAGGCTAACACAGCAAAATTCATCACTAGATCTAACATTCCTAAAATGGAAAGTTGGAGGAGCAGCGTCTCTGCTTTCATTTATCCATTGAAACTGCTTTATCTTCATTCAGACACTGAAAACACGAGTGGCTCCACGTCTGGAGAACGATTACATCTTCAGACTTCACAGGCTACTGGAGTAAGACCATGATAACAGAGGAAACTCTCTGAAGGCGAAGGGCGGAAAAGTCCTCATAAGAGGAGTATGACAAACTGAAAGAGCTTCTAAAAGTGGTTCCTAGAAGAGCTGTAGCTGATCCAGCACACTTAGAGTTAATGTGCACTGTAAGACCCGTGCTTAGCAGTCAGCAGCATTAAACTGTGCAGGCAGTGCTCTATGATCGCTTTGTTTGCTTTGAGGGTTACAGACGTTTGTTCACTTCTCTGCTTCGCTCTCTGGGGGCCGTACGCCAGAGATGCGGTGCAGATCAAAGCTCATAATTTGGATCAGTTCCCAGAACCCTCAGCGAGAGAGAGAGAGAGAGAGAGAGAGAGAGAGAGAGATGCTGCAGCTTCTCCATGAATCTCACTCATTTCCAAGACACTGCTAGAAGAGCCTGAGAGGCGCTTGTGGAGGAACACAGGAGCATGAGGCAATCTGATGGGACATGTAGAGATTCTGGCTGGCTTTTCTACCCAAACACAAGACGCAAATCCATCTCTTTTGCTCTGCCGCCAGCCAAGGCCGGGTGGGCACTGAGCTTTCCATCAGCTCCAGGAACTGCTATAGCGCCCATTAAAGCTCGACTTTATGGTTTGTTAGCACGCACAATGGCCGCTTTTACACAGTGGCTAAAAATTTTGTCCTTGTTTTGCAGCTAGGGGTCTTTAATTGTGGAGCTGTTTTGATAGGCTGGCTGCACTCGGCCTGCTCCAGCGAATGCTTTTGTTAGCCGCTTGAATGGCAACTCTATGTCTCTGTGCTTCGGTGGAGGCCTCAGTTTGATTCAGCTTTCCATTTAAATCGTTATGTACACACAGAGCAGGGGTATGTTCTTTATTTAGGCCGGCTGTGCAAGAGCAAGTCTGTCTCCTTTCAAGTGGAGTTGCCGGGCGAAGCTTGGGCAGAAACAGCTCATGTTTATGAGTCTCCCTGAGGCCTTCTGACAGGCTAACAGCAACACTGCAGGCAGCCAATCTTGCGAGACAAACCATAACTCATCACTGTCTCAAGATCCCAGAAACAAAGCGCACTGTAAGCAGTCCTCATCACTACTGAAAACTCTATAATGGAAAAGAAGTCGTCGAGAAGTAACTCGAAAAGATCTTTTGGAAGGTATAGCCAGCAGGCTCATCAGCATGTGATCATCTCTCTGGAAGACAGCGGATCCTCACGGCGACGACACCCGAATTTATCGCTCACTGCGTCGTTAATGACAAACTCACAGCTGCCCCGGGTGAACACAAACCACATGGATTATTTTCTATTGTAATGAAGTGATTGTGCAAATGAGTTGCAGATCCTTGGAGGAAAATCAGAACAGTATACTTCCCCACAAGTCATTTTCAGAGATCCATACTTCATCTATCTTCTTTTCAAGCAATTGTGCACTGGCAGGCCTGCACAGAGCTTACCAGGAAGTCAGAAAAACAGTAATGACAGTTTTAATCTGAGCTTAATGCTTTTCTTATTTCAAAAAGATGTCTCTGAGTGTGTATGTGTATTCTTTTTTTCCAGAAATTCCAAACTGGATTGCTTCCTTCAACAGATGGATGAGTGTTGTAGTATAAGATGAGTACCGTGTTGGAAGGATTACATTCAGAGCTGCTTTGAGACACTTGTTTCCCATTAGAACTTTCTGAAATTATATGCAAACCAAGCTGATACAGCAGTTGCGCCAGCTTAGGGTGCACTGTTTTTGACGACAGTTTGGACGTGTGGGAAGAGCAGCCTACCATCGCGCAAATGTATCACATCTTCTGCACCCTCCTGGCAGCCATTGTGGTGCATCCACAGCCCCACTGAGAAGAAAGAATCAAGGGAAGGGGCTGACCAGAACGTTTCCGGATGCTTCTCTTCAATGCTTACACATGTCGTGGAAAGGGAGTCTTTAGGCAGGACACTTTTAGGATTTCCAGTAGATGTAAAGGTAATGCTTGAATTTCTAAATAAAGGTTGATTTTCACTAACCTGGGCCTCATTTTTCACTAACAATGGGCGTCATTCACCAATATCTTCATAAGTTTGTTCTTAAATTTGTTCTTGACAACAAATAAGAAAAATTCTATGTCAGATTCTTACCTAAGAACAAATCCCAAATATGAAGACACTGGTGAATGTCAAAAACTTTGTGAAAACTGCATAAGTGGGTTCTAAGATGAAATTTCTACTTAAGAATGGTTGGTGAATGAGGCCCAATGTTTTTTATTGTGTTAGCCTTGTTCCATCACAGGCTGCAGATGATGTGTTTCCTGGGTCAAACGTACAGGAACCATTCCTGTACGCTGTGCTCAGGATGAAAGCAGAGTCAAATGTAGCACATCATGTTCCTCACAAACCAGCTCTGATGCAAGACACAGTTGCACTATTCTGCACCATGGACAATGTGACTATTAACAAGCCAAACCTTGACCTAGCAGAGTGCTCATAACGAAGAGTTGTTCATAACGAAGAACAGCTAGCGACCTCTTTTAAAATGATTGAGGCCTACTTCTAAGGTAAGCAATCACAAACAACAAAGTACAATTAAGGTTTGCTGGAGCCAGAGGAGACAAAGGTCTGGCTTCACTTCTCTAGCAATGGTCACACTTCCATAGGAAGAAAGACCAGTTTTTGCTAGTAGGTGCAGCCCAGGGCTGACCTATAACCCAAATACGTGACACATCCATTCTGTACCTAAAGGGTGTAGTTTTACAAATGCCAAACTGCAGAAAATCCAAACAACGCAATGTTGAAATCTCGCTGCAACTCAGGCGAAATACTTATCAGCACTTTTTTGACCATGTGCACTCAATCATGTGTAAAGAACTCCCAAAATAAGCTATTTCTTTTAGTGAATTTAGCAAGACTTGGGTGTGTCACAGTATCCATGCATCATCAAAGGCTATACTCTGAGGACTGGTCAGAGAACAGTTTTTCTTGTCCAGCTTTAAGCTAGACACTGAGGGGTATTCTTTAGCAGCGTCCATCAGGATTGGCACACTGAACAGTGTGTTCTACCTCAGCTTCTGCCACACATCTCTGCACTCTGACTCATCCCCAGTGAATATGTATTCACTAACTACCTGCCATTACCACACACAACTGATTTGCTCGAGTGACTCTGGTACAGATTATAAACACCATAGTACGCACACTCACAGTAGCACACTTCCTCACTCGTAACCCCTTCTGGAAGCGTTTGAAGTGTATGAGGTGTTGGTGGTGAGGCGGGGCTTGGTACAGACACCCAGGACGCAGAGCAACCTCAGTTAGCAGTGATTCGAATCTAAACAGACCCACCGCAGCTCAGCAAAGAGCTCGGCAGTAAAAAACAACACTTGTGCTTGAGTGGGGATTTGGATTAAGGTCTGCATCCTGTGTTAGTTTTGGAGAGTAGATGAGACACTTTGTCCAGGTTGTGATCTAATACAGAGAACAGAACACCTCAAATAAGGTGGGAAAACAAAGTGACTCTCAGAAAACATCATGCTGCTACAGGCAGGTACAACAGTATTAGTGCACTTCCAAATGCAAAGAACATTAGTAGATTTTTTTTTGTCTGATGATCTGCACGTTTTGTCTCCACACCATGGTTTACAGTGATGCAACACTACAGACCATTCAGTAAATCATGGAGAAAACATATTCTCATTGTATAATCATATAGGAAATGTATAACATGCATAGTTCATTGCACACTTGCAATAAGCAGTACATCTGTTACCAAGTTCACCTTTAATTCAACCTGAATTCAAGTGAACCTGGAGTCAACGCAAGAAAAAGGCTTGGCTGGGGTTCGAAGTTTAGTGGCAATCAATCATTGTAAAACAGAGGAGTACAAGCAAACCAGCAACACAGATGAAGTCTGTATTGAGAAAAGTACAAACTGTTCGCTACTCAAGGAAGGTGAGGAAAGCCTGCAGTCTTACAGCAGCGTTATTCAGCGATATGAAGAGATACATTAATCATAGTTAAAACCATCAGATGTGAGAAAAAAATGAGTAACATTTCTAACATTGTATTACATTCATTTAAATGACCAAAACCCAAGCGTGTTGTCAGAGATTGAGCCCACACACCATTTATCTCACAAAACATCACAGAATTGTGAGAAAGCATGCAGCATGACTGAAACTTTTATGTCTAAGCTGAACATTCCAGGGATATCTGGTTTGAGGCTAACACGTAGCCCAAAATATTCAAAATATGAGACTAACAAATGAACATTGTGCAACGTCCCCTGAGTTAGGCTTATGCCTGCACCTGCTTTCTGAAGGACCAAAGTGAATTACGGGAGCAGATGCATCATTTAAAGACAATACCTGAAAACCTCTACATTAAAAAACAAAAGTACTCTGCTAATTTTAGACCATTTTAGGTCAGTAAAGTTATTAAAATCTCATAAATCTGTCAAAGCTTTGGAATAAACTTAGCCAGGCTTTCAAAATCATGATTGTTCAATCAATAGGCAACTCTGTGTATTCTGTGCAAGGCTCTAGAACTGTCTGTGCAATAAAAACATAATTACATTATGGATAGGATGCATTAACTGTGGTCAGACGTGGCTTTATGAGCTGGTCTCTGACCAGCCGCAGCCACAATTCAGATGAGATAAAGGCTCATTACACGCTAATTAACAGGTGATAAGATCAGCTCTTACACTGCTGTACAGGTTCAGGGTTCTGAATGCTCAGTTTTGGATTGGAAAAGGGTTATAATTTTGACAGTTGTTGCATTAATAACAACAATATTAGTAAAATAAATAATTAAATAATAGAAAAAATAAATAATAAAGCAATAAAACCAACTACAATTATAACAGTAGAGCTACTACTACCACCATTACTACAGCTACTATTAGGCTACTATCACTACTACTAACAATAATAGCTGATAACACTAATAAAAATAAAAAGCAACTATGGCAGCATTTTTATGCATTTGCTACAGCATGATTCTTCTTCTTATTATTATTATAGTAATAACAATTATTATTACTACTAGCTGTAATAACAACAATAATAATACGAAGATTATTATTATTATTAATATTAATAATACTACTACTACCACCATTATTTAAAAAAAAACTACCTTTACTACTAACTCAGACTACTGTTGCCACTAATAATTAAAATAACAGCTGATAACAATAATAAAAAGCAACTGTAGCAGTATTACAGCATTTATTACAGCATTATTATTAGTAGTAGTGGTAGTAGAAGTAGTAATACACGCAGTAATTATTATTAGAATAACAATGTAACTACTGCCATTATTACTACCACTATTAGGCCCCTATTACTACTAATAACAAGTACAGCTGATAAAAAAAAAACAACTAGAGTTGTATCATAAGTAATAAGCAATAATTATTATCATTATAATATTACTAAAATAACAACTATGATAACAATAACACAACTACCGCCACCATTACATAACCCTCACTGATACTACTATCGCGACTACTCCAGCTGGTCACAGCAGTAATAGCTGCCCACTCTGGTCGGCGGTACCTTTATGTTCCTGAAGACGCAGCGTCTGGGTTTGTGGAGCTCTTTGGTGTACATGTCCATGTCGTGCAGGACTCTGCGGGTTCTCCAGGTTTAGAGTGGTGCACTCTCTCTCTCTTTCTCCTTCTCCTCCTCGGCTTTTTATGGCTCGCGCTGCTGATGACGTAACGCTGCTCTGCCCGCGAGCCGCAGGTTTAAAGCCCGCGCTCTGGGGAAATGACGCGACTTTATTTCCACTCCGTGTAGGAGTACTTCCGCTTCTTCGCCCTGAGAATCCCACTACTTCCGAGAGCTGCAGTTCCTCACAACTCTCCGCGCTTTTGCAAGCAGTTTACTGTGAAAATACGATCCTTAAATCATTTATGGTTTCTTTACCAGCAGCTCAGTTGGACTGTGAATGGTAAAGGTCTTAGGCCGATCCTGAAACCGTGTGGAGCCTTTAACCGTCAGCAGACGCTGAAGGCCGCCCTCACGGCTCAGGCTGCTATAAAACCCTACAGCCTTTTAAACGAGCTCAGTGAGATACACCTTATTACCACTGTGTTCATTTGGACATTTTAATGTATCTTATTTATTTATTTTCAACTTTTTCCTCCAATTTGTGGTTTATTTTTTCACCCATTATCTTCATTGAGCCATTGTAGAACTGTTAGAAAGTTTAGTTGACTCTGCTGTTTCAGTGCATTTCATTCAGAAGTGATCCTGGCCTGGTCCATAAACCAGGTCCATACACCCTAAACCAGGGGTGTCAAACCGCTACAGGAGCCGTATTTAAAAATCTCAACAAATCTGTGGGCCAGAAAAAAATGTTTTTAATTCATGTGCTGTTACCTGAACTGGCCACTGTTTATTCAAAATACGCAAAAGCTTCAACAGTAAAATATAGGCACTTGTAGTAGACCTTGAAATATTACATGAATAAATATTCCAAATTTAAATCTCTCCAGGACTTAGGTTTTTTAAACCTACTTATTTGCTTGAATTAGACACCTAATTCAAGCAAATAATTTTCTTTGCTGCAAGTTCATTAATACTTGGGCTCAATTTCTGAGCTGAAGAGTGGTTGAACTGCAGCTGAAATGCAGATAGTGCGTTTGGTGAAATGACTGGTCTGGAACTGTGTAGAACTATGTAGAATTGAGTGTAGCCGCTGTCCCAAAGGTTGTTTATGCGGTAGGAGATTTAGAGCGCACGTTACGTTGCAGTGCATGCTGGGGGCTGTAGTGCAGCGCATTGTGAAACCTACTAATATTAATAGAAAATTAAAATATTTTGTGGGCGGATAGGCTTGTGTCTTGCGTTTGACATATGGGCCCTATACAATGAGAACGGAAGGTTTACAGAGTATAATGGTTGAAAATAACACCCCTTAAGCTACATTTACTTTGGCTAAAGGAGCCACTGTTGTATGGTTACACAATTACTTTATGTGAACGATTATCACAAAATAACAATCTGGACATCCAGTTCTCGTTTTTAACAACAAAAAATCTGGAATTCTAGCAAATTAAATCGATCTATTCCTATTAAAGGGAAATGATATACTCACCTCAGAATTTTTAACTGATGAATGAACTAGCAGCTCAACTTTGATAGCAAGGAGCTTTGTGGTCAGTCACCTGCCGACATAGACATTAGCTACAGTCATATGCAAAAGGTTTGGGCGCCCCGATCAAAGGGCATGTTTTGTTAATGTTCTAGAGAAAATAAGTTAACACTTCCTCTACTTTTGGACATTATGTATATTTGTTAAATTTAACATATTGGGGAGGATGAAAAAAATGTGGCATGTAAAAAGGTCATGGCACATTTAATGTTTTTTTTAATTTTTCCAATATCTTAAATTCAGGCAACCAATAGAAAAAAATGTACTAACCACCATGCCGTACAAAATAAATAAATAAATAAATAAAAAAGTTTAAATATCTTTACGAATCTTCTCTATAAACAATGTGTTATGTGAACTTATTTTCACCTAGAAAATCAAGAAAACTGGAGGAGTTCAAACTTGCTTACTGCAGACAGGCAACAAAACATACAGCATATTACACATTTTAACACAAAGGTGGGTAAGTGAGAATGAATGCAAAGTGTATCTTATTGATTATGAATATGAACGCTTTAATGTCTGGCTGTTCAGCCGTCATCTAGGATTACGCTGTTGGCATGTTTGATCTCCACTGTTTTCAGTACTCTGGTTAGGGGACTCGTTCGTCCTGTATTTTGAGGTGAAATTAGCGTCTCTGCTGAAAAACCCATAGAAACCAAGTGCTTCTGTTGGTTACTGATGAGTTTGTAATGTGCTTTGCCTTCTTAAATGGCTTGATATCACAGTGTAAAGGATCCTGACGGTTTAGCAGGTGACCGATGGTTGATACCTAATGGAACCTAAAGGTGTTCTACAGCAAAGTAGTGATCTCAATTGGAAGCCGTTAAGCCAAATACACCATTAGGCTTTAAGAATAATTGTAATGGTCCTTTTTCAGCAGGGATGTCATTACATAACCTTCAAAATATCCTGGGATCAAGGAGTCGTTCTGAGATTGTTTTGTCTGGAATGGCTGTACAAAATGTCCACTTAAACTTTGTTCATTTGGGGATTTTCTTTATGTAATTTTCAGTGTACTGCTTTTTCTTTTCAGTGTAGACTCCAGTGCAGACAACTTCTAGTCATCGGAGGATGACAGTAGGTTACTAAGAGCAGTAATTTACGGTTAGTGCAGCCCCCTTACACAATGTCGGTAGACATCACATTGACTAAAGTCACACCTAAGGCTGATTAAAGCTTTCCATGTTGCTCAGTTGTTAAGTACAGGATATCCTTGCAGGTCTATTATCACATAAACTTGCTCAATGGTTTTATCTTACATGGAGCTTAATTAACTGACACTGTCATACATTATGACATTTTTGTCCAAAGCAGCTCAAATTGACTAACCAAGAGGGTGGACTAAACTACACAAGCAACCTCTCTGTTGCAGCGTTGCTCAAGGGCAGGAGGAGACACAGCCAAGGCCCCTGACCGCTAAGTTACCACCACCCACTTGAAAACGCTGGTGCAAAACCCTCCTCATAAGAAACGTTTGATGAGAGATGTTATTGGTCACATTGTTGTTACTCACTGAGGAAGGCAACACTGAATTCAGTTTAATCAGATGAAACACGTTTTAACATGCCAGAGTTATTAAACGATACAAGCACACAAACCATTTAAACGGCAGTGTACATATTGTAATCTTTATGGTCCAATAAAAGGTTCCCATGAGGTTTTCCATTTCCATGTATTTTAACGTTACTCCATCTGCCAATCAGTCTTTCATGGCTTGGCAAGCTTCGAAAGGGAACGGGGATCTGAAGTCTTGCCTAATATGCCAGGCTAAGAGAGCATTCTCCTCAGCGCCCATAGGAACTGATTTGTTCCATGGTGCTGTCTGTCTTTTGTCTATTGTTGTAGGCAAGCAAAGTACAAATCTGGAAATAAGAGGCATCTGGCAGAACCGATGTCACTAATCAGTCAATAAATATTACACCACATTTTAAGTCATCTGAAAAAATGTATGGTTCTTATTTTTGTGCATATTTCCTCAGAAATTCTTGGACAGTTTGCCTCTTAATACTAATTAGGGCAGATACATCTAGATAGAAAATGCGGAGACGCCTTAAGAGAGCATTCATACATAACACCACATTCAGCAAGAACACTGAGTGAAACTGATAACATTACGGGAAACATGCCAAACCAAACAAGATGTTTGCTGTAGTGCTACAAGGCAAGCACTCAAAGTCCAACGCACTGATCACATAGCAGAAAGCACACACAAAAATCAGTCACCATAAGGAAGAAATCTCAACAAAAGTGTTTCCACTCAACATCATCACCTTTGAAAGCTGAAATGAATAGGTGAGCTTGTCCATGCAAAATCCAGGTCAGCCACACAAAAGACACATTAACAGCCTTTCACAAACTCCATCACCGACATTTCCTTTGCTAACTGTTGGCTCTCTGTCCAAATACGGTGTAAAGTTTATGGAGCTTCACAGAGCAGACCGGCAAGATACAGATACAGCATTCTCATATGCAATGGAAGTAAATGCACAATTTTGAGCTACTTTTGTTTTTTTTGCAAAAAATAACAGGTGCGCTCATAAATATTTGCTCTTTCTGCAGCATCTTACTGAAAATAACAAACTAGGAGTGTCACTTGCAATGAAGTACACAATTTATACAACACCGTTTACCCTACAAACCAGGACAGAACGTCCACTGAAGGACACTATAGGAGTGCTGATGTAATGAGTGAGGCTTCTCAATAGTACAACAGTGAAACAGTGTCCCTCACTGAAAAGATTTAAAGCCTGGCTCTCATGTTACACTGCCAAGCCTTCCAGCAAATTAAAGATTAAATAACTTTCCATTACAACATCAACAAGAAGTGCACATTTTCAGTGATTTCATTCCCTTCTTGGGTGCAACAAAAACAATGGATGTTTTTTTTCCTGCATGACACACAAAGACAATGCCTGTTTTTGGAAGGAGAAAAAGAAAACTCAACAGCTATGAAACCGCCTTACATGTCCATATAGATATTCTTTTATAATACAAACATCCGCTACATATAAGAAACAGTTAAGTATGTGAGAGGTCAACAATTGTTGGAATGAATGAAAGAATCAGCAAAGAAAAGAATTCCCAGTGAATCATACACTCCCCTTGTTGTCTAACTGAAGCATCTTTGTACATTTCAAAAGACGTAAACTTTAAGCACTCATTTGATGTTGCAACCTATGAATGCTGTAATTGCCATCTAAAGGAAAGCAGAGTTCACAGCTAGGTAAATATCTTGTCAGGTGCACTGAGCAGGCACAGCTCGCATCACTGGTCAAGCACTAACGGTACAAAGGAGGTCACTGCGTTCTTACACACAACTGGGCAGTGCCTGGGTTTCCCAGAAGAGTCTCAGCACAATACAATCTTAAGACTGCATGGGAATCATGCCTTCAAAAAAACAATACGGTCACAATGATCTTAACACTCCAGCGCTTTAGGACAGCTCTTTCCTGAATCAAGCACCTGCTTACATCAGAGGCACTCTGAGACGTGGAACATTTACTCTGTAGATCCTCAGGTAGTGAAAACAAGCAGCCACGGGGTACAAATAGCAGTCATCAAAATATCACAATGATAATTACAGGATGAATCATAGGTTGGTTTAGTTAACCACCAAATTAGAAAATACTGTGAATTGCACAAAAGCATTCATCTTTATTCCACCAGCATCATATAATGGTGATTCAATATACAAGACTACAAAGGAAACCATCTCCCCAACCACATCTAACAGTACCTGATTTTGTGGGCAGCATCTTCTGCCAACTAGATCTTGGCTGGGATTTTTTTAAAGCGGTAGAGTGTAAATCACACTGAACACTCTCCCTACCAGTTAAGGTGAACTTCACACCAAGACGCTTTTGGGAAACTGGGCCCCCAGTATCTGTCAGATTGATGGCAGAACCAGTGGACTAAGTTTGTTCTTATGGGATCCCTTACAAATCACTGCCTTCAATGAATTTAAGAAAAAAAGAAATTGGATTGATCACTCAGTATTGCAATGTCACAACCAAGTTGGTGCTCTTATATAGGCTTATGTGTAAAGTGATATGTTGCTAACCATGAATTATGAGTGTAAAACTGCAGGTAGTGATATAAAGGGAAGAATAAAGACACCATTATGACCACAGGCAACACTGTTCTACAATACCAGTTTGATTGCAGGTGGGTCAGCCTGTACTGACAGAGGTTATGGCACTGAACAAAACTGAACTCTGCAATACAGACCTCTAGGAGGAGTGAAGTAGTGACCACTGTTAAATACTAATAAAGAGTACAGTGCAAAAGCTAGAGACCAGCTCTCAATTATTTCAATTCAGAAAAAAAGCATAAAACCCATATTTAACAGAAAATTTCATAGCAACCTCAACAACTAAATATTTTCATTGTCCACACATGCCTTTATTACAGCTTCCATTCTTTTTAGGCTACTTGCTTTCAGTTTTGGGTGGTCTACCAACTCTTGTGCTGTCAGGTGTCCCTTTTTCCAATTTTCTGAACTCGTTTTGGAAACTTCTGTTTTTTTCCCCCCACTCATTTTCTTTCACTTTCCAAGTGCATTATCTTATATATCATATTTTTAGACATATGAGCAACTTGTATTCATTGGCCGTTTTGACTGGAAATTAAATAAATTAAGTGTGGTCTCTGACGTTTCACAGCACTAAATATGACATACATAATACAGAATTGAAAAAAAAGCAACAAACAGCAATTTAACACTGAGGACCCATGTTATTTTCGGGTTCTCTTTTAATTGGTATGTTATGAATTCAAGAAACAGTTTACACAATACCTTTTCAAATCAACATGCAGTGATCATGAGAACACATGGAGAAAAGCCTATAAATGCTAGGAAAAAAAATAACGGCTTAAAAAACTGTGTCTACGTAGGCCGTACACTTCAATTATTCACAGTGACTGGTGTTTCTTGATGCATTTATACAAATATTCTCAAAAATACAAGGAGGACTTTGTTCTGACACAGAACAAACATCAAAACATTTAGGAATAAGTAACAACCCTGTAAGGAATTTTCCTATTACTGGAATTTTTAATTTATTTGCTTATCACAATTCAAATCCTTGAAGAGATCAATCCATTGAATAAAATAGATATCTCTTTGCTGTAGATGTACCACAAGCCAGTTTAACACTGGTAAAAAAAGCAGTAGAAGTTCTGCGTATCCACTCCCTCGAAGAAAAGTCATTGTTTGAAGAAGTAAACTGATGGCCTATGATGACCAAAGGAGTGAGCTACAATGGAGCCCAGGTTAGCGGACTGGCTGAAAGAAAATGATTTTCGCAAACGTCTTTTATGAGTACCAAAGAGAGGGCCGATATAGATGATCAGAGGTTTCACCCAAAATAACTCACAAAGGCTGCTTCATCCAAACTTCATTCGATTCTGTTTCATAATTAATACAGTGGAGATGACTCCTCTCACTGAAGGGTTTAAAACAACGTACAAACCATTTTCCTAAGCAAGAAGTGTCTGAAAAAAAATCAGACAAATCAACTGCAGTGTAAGCTTTAGGAGAATATTCAGCAGTTCAGTCTTCAACTGAAAAAAGTTCTCTAAAAAGAGAACAGAAATGCCAGCATTCTTCAGAAATGTGTGTGTTGTGGTGAGGACATACGTGATGCTCTTCAACAGTGGGAATGCGAGGATGTCTGCTATTCCATGCAGAGGCGACAGGAGAAAATAGTGACCAAAGCAAGTAATTCTCCCATTCTCCAAATGTCAAAAAGCAGGAAGGTGAGAAGTCTTAAAGTTGCAGTGACAACAGTCCTTATTTTCCAACAAAATTAATTTGATTTATTTAGTATTTTATCATTTAGTAAGGCACTCTCTCATTCCATTGCAGGGATAGTGCTGATCAGCGATTGCCAGATCTAGAGCGAAGTCTGAAGCTGGCGTTTAAACATAGGCTCCCAAAGCTGCATGGAACTCTGTGAGACACTGGACAAGTTGCTGGAATTTCGGCCTCTCCTCTGGATCCAAGGCCCAGCAACACGCCATGACAGCAAACCTGAAGATAGAGAAATTGTATAGATTCAGTGTAAAAAAGGCATAAATTGTTACACCTGGTAAAAAGCTTTTCATCTTTGTAGTTCAGCTCACATGTTCCCATGCGTATTGATGGATATCACACAAAGTACAGTCATCACCTATTCTTTCGTAAGGAAAGTGCTAAACAGTGATCCGACACTGATTAGCTTTTCCTGCCCTCCGGTCGGCCATCTTCCAGAGGCCGCACATCGCACAATAAATCATGCCACGTTTGGGTTGCTGACAGGGCTGGCAGCATTCTGAGCTTTGTGATTCCTGGCGCTCAAACGGTGTGGCTCCAGTTCCCTGGCAGTTGCAGGATGCCGATAAGAGGCCGCCTGTAACTGTGTTGATAGCGGGTGGTCCTTTGACTCTGGTTCAACGGAACATTTCTTGTTGGGCAGTTTCTTTATTTGGAAGTGTATTTAGCTGTGGTGTGGTGGGAGGCACTATACTGTAGTCGATTAGCCTCTCCAAGATCCATATCAGAGTTTCTAGTGCTGTGCTGAGCAAACAGCTGCCAGGCCTTCAGTTTTTCAATTCTTAAATAAATTCTTTTGCTAATTTCTCCCAGTATATATATATATATATAATATAAAATACATACATAACACATATATATATACATCATACATACACATACATATACACACACACACACACACACGTATACTTACAGTTCATCCGGACAGTTGATGGGCTGTGCTATTCTGTAGCCATCCTTCAGATAGGCTGCCATCTCAAAGGGGTCAATATCGACATAAGGGGTCTGTCCCAGTGTCATCAGCTCCCAGAGAGTTACCCCAAACGCCCACTGTAAAGACAGGACACATTAAGGTTATGAGGACAAGACGTCTGCACAGACAGAACTCAAGTGGCTTAGACACAGAGATAGGACCACCCTTTACTCAAGTGACGAGACCACTAAGTCAGACAGTGTTTGCCAAACAAACAGTCAGTATTTAGACTGGTGAAGAAGGGACATTCTTATCATGAAAATCGCCACGACAGATTACACTTCAAGTTTTTATTTGCAAGTCATAAGATACACAACATAGCTGAGATAAGATGGAGTCTAAATCTGCACTACTGTATTAAAATTCCACAACAAACATATCACAGACTCATCCAATGAGGATCATGACACTGGCAGACTGTACTTAAAACAAGCAGTGTTTTGTTTGCAACATTTCCTTTTAAAATAGTCACATTTTTTTTAGAACCACGTTCAGTAAAGTAGCCAGATCCTCTCCAGGTCACAGTACGCAATCAACAACAGTTCGCATTCTGAGAACAAAGCATTCTACAGACACAATTCAAGGAAATCTGGATTTATTCAACAAAGCACAGGGACACAAAATCAACCAATTCCAGATTATTTTAGCCCTTTAGTCCACAGGGATGCTGAAAGGGTTCAAAGTGCACATCCACATTCATCATCCCATAACAGCCGCACTAAATCTGCCTGAACAGCAGTGCTCACAGAAACAAATTGCCGCAAATCAGTGAAAAACAACGAGTTGGTAAATTACGCAAATTTCTGACATTTGCCCTTGAGCTCAGACTAAATAAAAAACTGCTTATTAGAAATTGTACAGCATGATGGCAATCAGTTATTGCAGTGCCATGAGTGTCTGAATCAGGGAGAGGAAGATGAATGACCTTTCACATGCTTCTGTATAAGGATTCACTGATCTGACTTTTTCTCTCCTGATTACAATAACCTGGATATTGTCTGATACAGAGTACCAATCCGATATTTTTTTTCTTCTTTAATTTTAAATCTTTGTTGCAAAGTCTAATCACTGTAAACATGTTAACTATCACTTTGTCTCAAATCACAAATAGTTTTAGTCTACATTAAATTGATCAAAATGTAAGTCTGAAATAATTATTTGCTGACTAAGCTGGCGGGAAGCACAACAGAATTAGAAAAGCACTCCTGCACAGGGGTTTTATTCTGAAATGCTATGTCATGCTTTGTTGCAAAGTGCTTTGTTTTGACACAGCAGCATTTTGTAGAAAAACACACGGTGCATTTGCATAGAAACACTCGTTTCATCTCTTTCAACAAAAAGTTTGACTGTAATGATTCATAATTTATAGCTGCATGCAGAGCATTCTGTTCCAATAATAAAACGCAAAGTGAGAATTTGATGTTTATCACATTTTGGCATAACACTTCCATTTTAGAGCAATCTTGACTTGGAAGCAGTATTGATCATAGATTGGTCACATCTAATCGATACCAATTCTTTTCATTAGGTCAGTATCAGTGCAAGTACTGATCCAGTGGATCAGATAAGTATAGCACTACTTCTATGTGGGCAAACAGAGAGGAGTGACAACCGGAGTCACTATCCTTATCTGTGAGCATGCCAATAGACACCCACCCTAGACAATGTGTAAGGTGGGTTGCTTCCTTCATTAACAGGCCTTACAGTAAATCCAGATGTCTAATGATTACCAGAGAATGGGCTTACCTACACGTCACTGGTTCCTATTGTATAACAGCAGACTAAAGCTTTCCTTACAGGCTGCTGGCTCTGTCACCAGTCTCTATTGTATCCTAATGAGCGGAGACTCTCCTGTCTCTGGTTAGTGGCCAACGGCAGTCGCTATTGTTCTCTCACACTTCTGAGGCTGCAGAGGTCAGCTGGATGACAGCTTCTGGCCATGTGCGTGTGGTTGACCAGAGAGGCAGGCGGTGGCTGCCGCTTCCTGACTGTCTAGGGTCCTCTTCCTTTGGCATGGCATGCATGTGTGTTACAGCCATAAAGCACATCATTCCAGGCACATTCACACGTTTTATATATACTCATGGCATATATGAGAGAAGGTATTTTTCAGGAGAAATGTCTGAGAAGATTAGATATAAAACGTAATCTGCTCGCAAGGCAATGAAGGGAAAAAAAAAGTTTTCCAAAACTTCTTCAAACATTTTTTTAAAAGTTCCATTGAAAATAGAACTCCTAATAACTATAAAAGTCCTGGAAGACGAGTAAAACTATAGCCATCAGATGAACAGTACTTTCAGTACTGTAAGCTTTCCTCTTTGAGAGATGATCTCTGAGGAGAAAAATCAAACTCCACTCTTGCTTCAGATCTGAAAAATCCACAACTGTTTCTGTCCAACCTTCCCCTATAAAAAGATAACTCAACACTATGGGTCTGAAAGGATATGGAGCTGTCAATAAGCTGTTAGTGTGAGAAAGAAAGACAACAGACAGGAAGGAACAGACAAAAACAAGAAAATTCGCAAATGAGATTTTAAATACAGGTGTTGAGGCTTTTGAGTAATTCTCCCTTAAATATATGTTTTCTGCCTCACCCCCAAATTAAATAAATGAAGGGTGGTCATTGACTTTTGCACAGTATAGGTAATAAGAATTTTCTAAGCCTAACTTTAAACCTCAACATTAGCAGCCAAAATAAAATGGTTTTTACAAATGAGAAGCACAACTACAGTTGTACAGTCGTGTTTTTCTGATGTGGAACAAACCTGCAGTTTTACACTGCAGTGTTACTCAATCCAAGGTATTGTTAAATAAGATGGCATAGACAGATAATGCTCTTCATTTAAAATCAGCAAGATTTTAATGATTTCATTTTTAAGGTACACTGCACTCATTTACAGTAACAACTACTTAATTTTAAGGTTACCCAGTGTGATAATGGACTGCCTTTGCGAGTACTGAAAAATATGTACTTGTACTGGATCTGAAAAAAAGGTCATCAATGCATCCCAAATATTATGTGTGTGTGTGTGTGTGTGTGTATATATATATATATATATATATATATATATATATATATATATATATATATATATATACACACACACACACACACACACACACACACACACATATATACACATACATACATATACATACACACACACACACTTTAAATATATTCCAATGTACATAATTATGGAAGTCAAGAACCAGTGTCTGTGCAGTAAATCTGCACAGCTGGGTCACGTCTCAACCTGTCCAGGAGCTTTTGTCTCCTGATTACGTTTGCTCATAGTGGGCCTCTCTGGCACTGCGCAAGAGAACAGCTACCATGACGTTAACTCTGCCATTGTGTAAATCTAGATCTGTGTAAACAGGGATGATCCGCATTTCTTGAAGCTACATCAAGACTACATTTCTCCTTAGTGAGAGAACTTCAGCACGGCTCCTCACAGTGCTGTGCAATTTATTCTTTCCTGCAATATTGATATCGCAAAGAGATGCTAAATGCAAATGAGCCTTTTAACCAATCACAAACTTGTTTATTATGCACTCCTGAGAAATAAAAATGCATTATGAGACTGTGATATCGCAGTGAAACATTGTGAAAATGTGCATCATTTATTCATTAATTATGCCACTAAATGCACGTGCATTGTTTGAACATCAAAGTTTGCAAACAATCAGAGCCAACAGCTCACTCCAGCACTCCTCCTGTCTGCCAGCTCCAGTGCCTTTAATAGGCTGAGTGATTATAATCAATTTTGTTTTGAATTTTGTTCAAAATATCGTGAGAACACCAAATCATGAAGATCTCAGAGGCTCCAGACTGTTTTTTTTTGTAGGCGTTCAATGAATCAAGGCATGCGATCCACAATAAAAATAAAATAATGTCTTGAATCTTTTTTGTATACCTCACAAATCAAATCTCAATATATGAGATTCATATGGCGCAGTCCTGGTGGAAAAAAGACAACAGAAGACAACCAATACACAAAGAGAGGATTTATGCTCTCACCACATCACTGGCACTGGAGAAGTCGTTGTTGAGCAGGCTCTCCAGGGCCATCCAGCGCACTGGCCTGTTCTCATTATCCCCCAGGCAGTGATAGTCCATGGGGAAAAGATCTCGAGCCAGTGCGTTATCTGTGATCTTCACCTGCATGCTGTCATCGATGCTATAGAGAACACACAAAGTGAGAAATCTTTAGTATAGTGGAGGTTCAAACAGACTCCAGACTGGTAATGGCTGATGATAATGATGCCTATGGTTTTGCAGATGTGCTTGATTATGAATGATGGTGCTGTACAGGTCAGATGAAAAATAAGATGAGCTGTAAACAGCGTTCATACACCTTTTCCAAGGTCAAATTCAAGCACTTTCAAAGTCCATTTTCAAGCTTTTCCAGCACCTTACAGCTGTAGTAAATTACACATTTATACAAATACAAACATGCTCAAAATAATTAATTCACTTTTTATCACATTAAAAGAGATGGTATTATGCTATAAACAACCAGAATTGTGTTTGGTAATTGCAGAAGGATAAGAAATTAAAGGAAAACACATACATTTTGTTTGTAAGTAGACTTTCTTTGCTATCTAACCTTGCAGAGTCAGGATAAAATAATTACCCAAAAAAATCATTCGACAAATAACTTCACTTCCAATAAATTCTTTCCTGAAAATGTCCAAAATAACAACATTCACCTTTGAGGTAGGCAGTCAATCAGCTCTATAACCTTTTTCCCACAGTATTGTGCAAATCAGAACAACAGAAATAGTGGCTAGCTTGAAAACAGACCGGCAGATCGCAGTCATACACTAGCTAGCGGTGTATGGGTCGCGAACAAGCTCTTTAAGCCAGTCTTTTAGTCAGTGAGTCAACACTTCTGGTCTGAGTCAAATGATCTTGGTTCACCAAAAAGAGCCAAAATTCCCATCATTATCACACACTCAGATGCGCAAGCGAGCCCAGGCAGAGCAGTTTTCGTTTTAGGCTGTGACTTATTTTATTTCTCCATTTAATAACCAAACTATTCAGTCAGATAGCTATTTGAAATACAGGTAGGATTTTAAGCATTTTCCAGCACTTTTCAAACCTGGAAAATACAACATTAAAATTCAAGCATTTTCAAGGACTTCAAGCACCTGTACGAACCCTGTGTAAAGGCCATTGCACACCAAACATGACGCAAATAACATGAAAATGTGATTATTTTCATCAAAACTATACACACTGGACGAGATCCAATTTTTGAGAATTTTGCCATGTGTGCAACGCGAAAAAATGAATGAATGAGCAGATTGTCTTCAGGAGCTAAAAGATATGACATTGGGTAAGTTACATTCCATTTTAGACAAGTGAAAGAAACACAAAGTTTCACTGCCTCGATCACGTGCTAGAATGTTATGAGAGCTTCCACACAGAGCTCAAATCTCTGTGACTCAGTTTTGGCTACTTTTGGAGATGCTACCAAAGTCTGTGACAAAGCTGAGGGCAAACTAATCCTTTTACCATTTGTTAAAAGTTCTAGTTGCTGATCAGTCATCTTGACTGTCGACATGCCAACGCCAGAGACAGCTGTGATGGTTAGTGAGTTTATTAAAAATCAAACAATCAAATCAAACTGAACACTGCATGTTAAGGCCTCAAGTGTGTGTGTGTGTGTAGTGGAGTTTCAGGTAATGTCACACTTACACACAGTTCCTGGCAGCCAGGTCTTTGTGGATGACCTCTCTCCGGGCCAGGTAGCTCATTCCACATGCAATCTGGATGGCCATGTGAACAAGATCCTGCTGTGAGATAGCCTGTAGTTGGAAAGAGAAGAGTCAGGAGAAGAAGAGAAAGAAGGTTTAAAAGGAAGCTGCACCAATGGGTGTTGTAACAAGGCTGAGGGCCACCAAGCCTTTATTGCACCTTTGTTTGTCAAAAGTTTGGGGGTACACTTTTCAAAATGTTTTTAATAGAAACGAGCATGTTTTCATTATCAGTTTGCAATAACTTCACATCACGTTTACATCACGTGTAAATATTTGTGACAGTGCTACTTTGGGAAAGATTCCAAAGCCCACGCATTTTATCCCCTAGTGATGTCAGCACTCATCAGCACTCAAACCTTTCAACTGTTTAAACCACTTTTGGGCCAAAAGAGCTTCAATATGTGCTTTTAACAATAGTTAAAAGCATAGAAAGCAAGACAGAATATAACACTGTCAAGTTTTTATTTAGGCAACATCTATTCTTCATACCAAAAAAGACACTCTGATAAACTTAAAGTGAGTAGGGATGTACATTCAGCCTATTTTTGATATAAGTATCTCTAAGAGTTCATGAACGGATATCTGAGCCAGAAAAAAAAAATTAACTGGAAACTGGCACATTTTCGGATGAGTAACATAACTGGCTGCCTCGGATGAGCTAATAAGCTAAAACTACAGCTATCTGGTAACACTGGACACTAATGGAAACCTGCTGTCTTGTACAGGTGTTGTTTTCTCTTTGGTGAATGATGTGCTAAAGTTAGTTTGTCAGACAAATACATTTTAACTATTTTTGGACCTAACATCAGTCATGCCTATTTAGCAATAAAAACCATGCTACCTCTTCCTAGCCACATCCTTAACATGTTCTTGGCAACATGCTCACCTTCAGATACTCGCGTATCAAAGTAAAGAAGTACACATACTTTCAAATATGAACGTTTTACAGCTCTGTTAAAATACAAAATTAGTGTTTCACTGAATTGTTGGTCTGTATATTTTCTCCATCTTCTCGTGATGAAACGTAATGAACACCTACATAGCGATTTTGAATACTTTCCAAGACTACAACGTCGAACTGTTAAGAGTACTCTAGCATCTTTACATCAAAGCAAGTGTTGCAAAATATACTTCAAGTGTTTGCAAACAGCTGATGTATGTTGCTTCAAGTATTTTTCTTACAGATGTGAAAAGCAGCAAAGTTTGCATGGTGTTCCCAAACTTTTGATGACCAGCGTATTACACGAGTTTGCTGTCTGAGCAGCAGCAGACCTACAACTCTTGTCAACTCAGTACTACCCACACAGCCCTGCACCTCGACTGAAAACACACACTGCTTACTGATGTACAGAGGAACAACCCACATAACTTACATAATCCTTTTTTAAGGTACCCAGAGTGACACACAGAAAGACAAACATGCACACAAACATGTAGCATCTTGACACAGGACTATTTTAAACTGTCTAATTTGGGGGAGGGGGGCACAAAAACGGTTTAATTGTGCACTGTAAAGGCCTTATCGGTCACAGGCTACCTAATCAGCAGCACACAGGCTTGGGCTTGTAGTTTATATTCTGCAAATATGATGATGGCGAAACGGTGCAGATGGCACTGTAATACAGAGAGTGCCAAGTAGTATTTACCAAAGTTAAAAAAGCAAATAAGTTCTACTTCAAGTGAGGGTGGACATGCATTCCAAACCAGATGCTCAAGTTGTCAGGAAGTTGAGAAATGAAACATCTGCTCCTATTCTATTCACTTTTTTTTTTAAATCTGATGCTTCACTACTGATTTAGGACTCTTTATGATTTACATTTTATGCCTGCTCAGACAAATTCCTACACAGGAACCAGAGAGAAGGCATGACTGTAACTTGCATAAAAGTCTTCTTTATTTTTTATTTTTTTTTACTGCTAGCAAGCACAGGCTTGCAGTGTAAAAATTGTTAGCTTGAAGTAACACTTGTACACTTGCTCATAGCGAGCTGACTGATTGAATCAACAGCATCCTGTTCCTGCAAAGGGCTTGATGCCAACTGGATCAGAGACCCCCTGGGGTTAACCAGCACAAAAGACTGATTGTGCACTCCTCACTCCAGTAAAGCACCTCTTCCTTTTTTCCTTAGCACTCTGCTACTTGACATCAATCAGGGCTCTACACAGTATATTCATTGTTCTAAAGAATGCAATTAAATAAAGAGAATTTGAACTCTTTAGGTGTCCTGCTGGAGAGTCAAAAGCAGTTTAACACTTTCGGCATGCTTTAAAGGTAACAGAACACCACCTTCAAACAGTCCATCGTTATTTTCAAACCACATGTTCCTTTAAAAGCTATTAAATAGCTGTTTATGTGCATGAAAGTGGTGAACGGTGTTGTGTTTCCATTAGACAGTTCTCACCAGGCTATACAGAACTAAAGGGCCTGTAACAGGAGGTGTATAATGCTTGAAGTTGACAGATTATGTTTATATGCTCACCTGAGGGTTGTTGGCCTCAGCCAGCTTGCACTGCCGTAGGAAGAGTTTGAGGTTGCCCCAGTTCATGTAGGGCAAAAGGACCATGGGCTTCTCCCCATCCTCTGTGCAAACGTGACATATGGGCAACAGGTTCCTGAAAGAGGTAAGGTAAACCACATTTACCAAATGCAAATAAAAACAAAACCAAAACAACAACAAAAAGAAAAACTGGCCTAGGTTGTGACCAAAATAGATCACTACTCTCTCAATTGCATTACCAGCTGCAAAAACAAACCAGCATCAAATGCTTGTACAAAGCTAAAGCTGCCTTCTTTTTCATGGTTATAGACATGGGTGTGACTTTTTAAAAAGTGCAGGAGAACAGAATGTGGACTGGGGGTAAGTACAAAACCTAACTAGGCTACACACTTAGTTCTTAGTCCAAACTGCAGTAACATATACTATTTAGATACTATTTATACAGATACTATTTTGCTGTATGCTGAGCAACAGGCACTAAATGCTTTGGAGCAGGGGTGTATCTTATCCGCAAACGCAGTGGGGAGGGGTGGTTGTAGGTATTCATTCCAACAAAGCAGGAACACACATGAACAACAAATGTTTAGTGATGAAGGCCTGACTAAATGGCTAAACAGAGCTCAATTTCAGAGTTGTAATGTTTCTAGCTAGCTTAATGCCGTGTCCAACACCATCATCTACTGCAGGATTAGTTGACATCATTATTTCTGCAGAACACTAACGTTAGAGAAAATACAGTTTAGTGCAAAAGTCAGGAGACTAGTTCTCATTTATTTCTCAATTAATTTCCTGTAAAAGAGCCAAAAAGTAAAAGTTATACATTTTCAGAACATATTTTGAAGAGTACAAATAAATTAACTGACATACATATGACAGCATAAAATTAAAAGAAAATAAGTGAAGAGTTTCAAAACTGGAGCTCAAAAAATTATTAGAAGATACTCAAAGACTCCTAACCACTGTGCAATACCCAGTTAGACCACCAAAACTGTCACCATCAGATAAACTTCATTTATAAGAGAGAGGAGAAAATCAAGCTCCACTCTTGCCTCAGATGTGAAGAATTACACAGCTAGCCAAAGCATGAACAGGTCAAATCTTTCAAATGTCAAACGACAGAGCTAAACCTCAAGCCTAATTAAGGAGATGGGAAGGAAAACTAAGGAATTGACCAACCGGAGACAGTAAGGGTAGCTATCAATACGCTCCAGTGAAATGACCTTACTTCCTGTAACTGCTGGCAGTGATGAAATATGTTTCCATAAGAACACTCTGTCTTCCAAACATGACTCCATCCTGTATGATTGTCACAGTGTGATATTTATAGGGGCCTAAAGGAGCAGGGCAGGGTCTGATGTTTGACTGCAGACAGAGTCTGGCCTGACAGCACTGCTCCCAGCAAATGGAACAGGAAGCAGACCTGTGGCCATCTCCCCAGCAACCAAAGAGGCAGAGCAAGCAAACACTGCCACAAGAAATAGCAAAACGGCTGAACAGTCTATTCAGTGGAATACCCACTTACCTCATAAACATTGTACATACGTACTTTGTGCTAACCTGACGGAGACACTGATAAAAGCAGGGCTGTTTATTACAATGTTTATTACTTATCATTTTGCTGAATAACATGCTGGACAATTCTAACAGAGTTTGGTTTCTGCTGAAGGACTTCCTAATGTTACAACAGTTCACAGACAAGGAGCTCTCTACATTTCTAGGAAATACACTCTGCGTCAGATGGGAATTGAGAAACCGCTTCTAGGGGAAAAGAGGAAAAAAAAAGAAAAATAAACTGAAGCTGTGGGAGTATGAAGAGATCATAAATCTTTCTTTGGGGGAAATGTAAAAGTCAGCAGTGACCGCATGGTTACTACTGTAGGTGAGTGGTCCTCATTCTGCTGTCACGATATTTTGTCATTAGACAACCAAGCAAGACAAAAATTTCCATCATGAACGTGGAACATGCAGCTGTCAGCATTTTACTGAGAGGACACAGAGGTGACACTGAAGTTCATTTGAATTTCAAGCCAAAAAGGTCACCAGGACAAAGAGTGACTGTGGAATCAGAGTACACAAATATATTCATTGGGCTCTGGTTGGCTCAAATTTCAAGGGTCTCTCCTTGAAAGGATTTTGGCCTGCAGTCATCCTTGTATCAGTTGTTTTCCCTCCCTATTTTTATTACTACAGAGTTGGGGTATTTTCGAAACTGGACGCTGAATCTCGGCTCCAGCAGCATAGCGCGAAAGCCCTGGTTCTCAACGACCGAGAACAGACAGCAGACAGCAGGTCACATAGCCCCGAGGTCTGGCCTCGCCAGTAGCGAATGAAAAAAGAGAGATTGAGACGAACATTTGCATTTGGAGGACTTATTCGCATTTATAAGCAGCGCGGTTGGTTAAATCTGCAACGAGAGTTAAAAAAAGTTGCGAAGATGAACTCGCTTCTCTTTCGAATTTTCCCGTTCCACCTTAAATGGTGCAGCAGTTACATTCGGCGCCTAAGGCAGAATTTAAGGTGAAACGGGAAAATTAGAACGAGAAGCGACTTCAGCCTCGTAAAACAGCCGGATGCTGAGACATTTTACAAGAAACTCTTCTAGTTTTGAAGAAAGGTGTTCTGGCGGAGATGGAAGGAAAGCGGCTATAGCTAAAGCTTAAAGCAGAGCGAAGTAAATCTGCGCTCTCGTTTATATTTTTAGCCCATACTACGACATTACCACATACTGGACATTAAATGCTGCGGCTTCCAAGGTGGTTTGACTTTGTTGAAAGGACAAAATGGCTCTTATTAACATGTGTGTTGTGACTCCTGACCTAACCTGGCTTTAATGCAGAGGGAGCCGGTCGGATTTCTCACTCATCCACTTGTGTTTTTGTTATGTGCCGCCACAGACTGTCCGGGCGCTGCACTTACCCACTTCCAAATTCCGCCTTTTGCGTTCCGTCAACATTACATTATAAATTAAATATTTAGAAAATCGATTTTTGACATTTGTGAATCGATTCAGAATCGTTCATGTCCGCATCGCGATGCATCTAAGAATCAAGTTTTTCCCGCACCCCTACTGTTGACCACATTTTCTTAATATTGATGTTAAGGTCATTTTCAGACAGAACTGTTCATGCTACATCTAGTTTCAACTCAGAATTTTGTTGTTCTACAGTCAGGTTCAGATTTAAAGCCTGGTGCTGTGGGTTGGATCAGATTAGACTTTGGCAGAATGCTACATTCGGGTTCGGACCTAAATTTCAGACCTGATTAAAGCTCTAAAGTCTACACAACTTCATTGTACTTGGTTGAGTTAATTGGTTGTACTTGTTTTGAGAAGGAAAAACAGAACTGTTGCTGAGAAGCACTGTGCGAGGTTATTATCACTAACTGTGGGTGTCCCTGAGGGCTTCAGAATGTATGGAGGAAATGAAGGAATGAAATGTTGAATGAATGCAACTCACCTGTTATCAAGGCCTGGCAGCTTATGAACAAATTAACATGCATGAGTAAATGAATGGACAGCTGACTAGATGTAAGGCCACTGTGGTACAAGCCTTAAATGGGGTATTGTGGGCTAAACTATCATTTAGTATGCTGTCATGGTAGGCAGCATTTTATAGAACAGCACTGTCTCCCTCAGTTTCATCACTTCGACAGATTTCCCAATTTCATTACATCAGTGCTCTCTCACTACAATACCCAGCATGCACTTTGCAAATACATTATAATATCATTGGGAATCCCTGTAGTGTCAACCAATCTAGTCACTGATCTGTATGCTACTTAAGACGACCAAGCTGGCATTTGAATAACCCTTCTTTAAGATAAGTTTTACACCCTCCCAGCCAGAGAAAAGAAGCCAAACTAAGGTAAGGGATCTAAATAGCCAAGTACCTTGCAAACTTCAGTTTTTATCTCTTTTTCTGTCCTGCTTATCTGATGCTTATCTGCCATTTGAGTATTCCATTCTCTCTATACTAATGATTATTTGAAGACAGTTACCACAGTTATATTGCTAAGATACATGGCTTCCAAGCAGTAACGTCAGCTATCTGCCTTCCTTCTGAATTGACCAGCTTACTAACTAACTGAATAAATAAAAACTTCAAGATTCTTTAGAAGGACGTTTTACTAAATACAAGTAAACATTTACTTGTGCAGCAATGGTAATATTCATTTCAGACAGCATCACTAGAACATTCTGGCTTTTAAAGGCATGAAATCTTGGAAACGCTGCATTATTTATGTAGAACTTCAAAGTAACTATAGAGAATGTAGGTGCAGCCCAATACTGAAACATTCACTGCATATTTGTAATGTTGCTTGTAGACTGTTTGGTATATTTTCTGATATAGAATAGGATTTCATAAGATCAGTTATGAACCACTGTCAAGGTGGCATCATTCACATTTGAAGCCTTTACCAGCCTGACACAAACACACAGGGCATTTAATCTCACTGTACTACTGTTCCATAAGTGATCAACAATGAAGTAGCCTTCATGAAATGACCCCATAAAATATATAGGCAATAATGGTAGAAGAGTAGAGACTGCGTTAGGAATTTGGTGGGACGGCCAGATGAGGATGAAGAATGACACTACTGTGGTTAAGACCTCATGATTCAAACAAACAAAATAAAGAACAAAGGACCACTATGATGATTCACCTGTGATGAAGGCCTCGCAGCTTACAGCTCTCCGTCAGCATCATCGTCACCTGCACCTCGGAGGCATGATCTGCCAAAGCAAATACAAGAACCAACATGGGGACGAGAGACTTGGTTATCTAAATCGTTAGTCATAATAAAAGGTGTTTTGAAAAGACATGTTCTGTGAATCCATTTATCCAACTGCCCTTTGGGTGAGTTTTAAAGGCAAATGTTCCTGTGAACACAGTCACTTAGTTTAGAGACAGGGAGTTTGTAGAGCCAAGCAGAAGGAGACAGACAGGAATGTCACTACACACAATCACATGTGAACCTCCTCAAAGACATGCTCCAGTGCTCTGCAGTAATACATGCCTGTTACAAAGGCCAATCTATCTTGTGCTGGGTGAGAATGCAACTGACAGCAGGTCCAAACAGAGGCATTCGGTTTGACCTCAATGCTCTAAATGAAGCAGATCACTGTTGTCAGACTGCCTCTACTCTTCTCCTGCTCTTTTTCCTGCTCCTGCTCTGAGCCCCTCTTTCCCTGAGCTAAGAAGACATTAGAGAGGTATAACGTGTTGGTATATATAAAAAAAAAACAAAAAACAGAGCAGTCTGCCCCTTGGTTCCTCTAAAGGATGCTTTAGGGCTGTCTCTACTGATTAAATTAGTACTTGAGTAATGAACCTATTACGTTGGCGTTTATTAATCACGCAATTAGTTTTTCAACTTTTTAAACTCCATGGAACCACTAGCCGTTCCAGACTTGTATTCCTCATTCCTAACTTAACAATAACTCTGCCAGTTTGCATTGTTTTCCGCATAATTCTGATGAATAATCCTTAGAGTGTAATAAAAGTCTCAGAGATTATGGTAAAACAGCAAAAAAGTCATTCTACAAGCGAAATTGTGACACATGGCAATAGTGATTCATGAGCTTTCATTCAGAGACATATCACAGAAACACAGAAGTTGGTGTAAACAGAAAATATCACGGATTTTTTTTTTCGTCCACACTGTAACTGCCCTCTTGGTCTCTCAGCCTCCTTCAACCCATTTTGTCCAGACTCACAGAGCTGGCTGGGAGAATGTGCTACAGTCAAGTTCACAGAGGCCTGAGTTTATCTCAAAATGCAGCTTTTGGCAGCTGCTTGGTGCTTATGGGTAATCCACATTGTTTCCTACCCTATGGGTATGGCTGGGGGGAAGTTGAAGGGCTTGGCGCAGTTGAGAATGGCATGGGCACATTGTTCAGCAGCTGGCACCAGACCCGGACAGGGTAAAACAGGGCAGGAGGGCAACAACATCTCATATGAGTGCCTGGCAGCATCCTTTGCCAAGCAACCAGTGACAAAACATGAAGCAGAAACGAGAAAGGGGAAAAAATCCTCCAAGTCCTATTTAAATCCCAGATTCCCACTGAAATCTGTTTTTAGTCTGCATTACTTGTCTGGTCTGTTAAAAAACTTCCTATTACTGGAAGCAGTAGCATCCCAAACCCATATTTCTGAAGATTTATGAGCATAATGTTAAATGTCTTGAAGATCAGTACTTTTCTTTTATCATTGTAACCCTGAGTTAAAATCAGTGATGCACCAATCCAGCCTTCTCTCTCTCTATAAGGTTTCCGATAATTGAACTCAGGATAACGGTCAAAATTGAGTAATGAGACGATTCTTCAACATTTCATTCAATGTGCTGTTACAACTGAAGAGTTAATTCCAAAACATGATAATAAAGGATTTATTAAGGATTATTTTTAAATGAGGACAACTGGACAAGTATTTCATATTCATACTATATGTATACCATATTCTTCTAATTTATTTTAGAGGTATGAAGACTAATTGAACACTGTAGACATCTTAATTACCTCCTTATTATCTCTAGATCACTCAAAAATCTGACAATTTTAATGTTTTGGCCTACAATAATAGCCTACAGAAATTGTTAAAAATGTGGAAGCTTGATATAGTTAATTGCTAGTGAAGCTGGTATGAAGCACAACAGAGTTAGAAAAGCACAGGGCTTTTATTGTGACACGCTGGTTCACATTTTGTTAAGAGGGGCTTTTATTGTGACGCATTGCTGCTCTATGTAGAGAAAGGTGGCATATTTCACATTTACAAAGAAACACTCATTTCATCTTCTTAGATTAGCCCAAGCCAGCTCAATCTTCATTACAATTTTCCACGCCCAGAAACAAACACCTTAATGCAACTTCACCGAAACAGCCGTTACTATGGTTATGCTTCATGTATTTCTTTTTAGAGGACGAGCTAGACAAATGTGGGCAGCCTAACAAGAGAAATCATTACATTGCCCACACTGTGCCTCTGATGAGAATAATCTAGCTAACAGCTATTCAACATTTACTTACTATTTTGAAAAAAGAATGAAGCAAAGGAGATTCACACAGATTAAATGTCTTTATGAAGTAGGCTTCTCTGTTTTGGAACTCAGTTTGCACCCCTAAGGTACCTTTCTTTGCTTGATCAGCTTCCACAAAAAACAAGCACAGAAATTATTATTATTTTTTTTTTTACTGTTTTCTGTAAATTTTCCTTTACTGAAAGCGCCCATTGTTTGTCCTCCAAGTTTAAAATACTATTTTGCACAGCTCATTTGATGCCACTTGAAAGGAGTCTTAATCTTCCGGAGAGGTAGAGGACAGCTGGTGTTTGTTGAATGAGCCGAATGGTTGAGTGTTCTTTTGCACATGCGGGTGATGTCAGACATATGTCACATTAAAAGGATAACATGAATGTCCAAACAACGAAACTCGATTTGAGCACTAAGTTGGAATTGGGCCTCTTTTGCCCTCAGTCTGAAGAAAGTCTAAGAAACACTACTGATAGTGGATGGGTCACGTCTGGCTAATACTCGATCCGTTGATTGTGGTCAGTATCGGTGCCAGTACCTATATAGTCTATCAGATCAGTGCATCACTAGTTAAAATGGGCAGATGTGATGGGTGTTTCTTTTTGTAGTGTCAAGTTAAAACATTACAGCACTAGTAACAGGGAATGTGAACAGCAACTGTACCTTTGACAGTTTTCACAAACACTTGCTTCTCTTTACTTGGGTCCTTCTCGTCAAGCAGGACACCATGGAATATGCGTCCAAATGTTCCTGTGAATACAAACAAACAGTCACTTAGTTTAGAGACAGGGAGTTTGTAGAGCCAAGCAGAAGGAGACAGACAGGAATGTCACTACACACAATCACATGTGAACCTCCTCAAAGACATGCTCCAGTGCTCTGCAGTAATACATGCCTGTTACAAAGGCCAATCTATCTTGTGCTGGGTGAGAATGCAACTGACAGCAGGTCCAAACAGAGGCATTCGGTTTGACCTCAATGCTCTAAATGAAGCAGATCACTGTTGTCAGACAGATTTAACAGTGTTCTGAAAGCAATCTGCCTCTACTCTTCTCCTGCTCTTTTTCCTGCTCCTGCTCTGAGCCCCTCTTTCCCTGAGCTAGAAAGACATTAGAGAGGTATAATGTGTTGGTATAAAAAAACCACAGAGCAGTCTGCCCCTTGGTTCCTCTAAAGGATGCTGAGGTTTAGGGCTGTCACTACTGATTAAATTAGTACTTGAGTAGTGAACCTATTACGTTGGCGATTAATCACGTAATTAGTTTTTCAACTTTTTAAACTCCATTGAACCACTAGCAGTTCCAGACTTGCATTCCTCATTCCTAAATTAACAATAACTCCACCAGTTTGCATTGTTTTCCACATAATTCTGAATAATAATCCTTTGGGTGTAATAAAAGTCTCAGAGATTATGGAGGTTCAAAGGGCAACAAAAATGGACTTAACAAACTCTTTCAAAGCTTTTCAAACATTCCAAAATACTTGGGAAAAAATTTACTAGGAAGCCCTAAAAAAGTGCATATAAACGGGTGAATCAGACTTTCTGATTGTAAAATAAATAAATTAAAAAATGCAACATCATGAAAATTGGCAAACATTCACTGCAGATTCACTGAGGTTAAATGCCAACATGGCTATGGTCAACTTCTCTTTCTTTAATCTTTTTGTCTCAAATTGTTGGTCCTTCCTCTCACCAGCAGGCTTGTTTGGACATGCTGGTTATCTTACATCAGTTTGTTGATGTACAAACCCACATCAACCCCTCTATTACCACATAATATTACTCTACTCTAATGGTCTATCGTGCTCTCTGGTTACAAACACCTTTATAAATAAATGATAGTGCATAAAAAAACTTGGCAAAAATTGGCCTCGTGCACAAGATGCGAAAACACCATTATAAATGAGCTATGTAATATGCACCTGGGGCTTAATAATATAAGGCTGCTCTCCATCTCATCATCGAATATAAAAATCCTGCAAAATAATGAACCATCACAAAAATATTTGATTACCAAGTGATCACCAAGTAGGAGGCCCTTACAAGCAATATAATTGTCTCCCCAAACATCCAATGAAATGTTTTTTTTTCACAGTTTGATTACATTTTGTGAGCCTCAAAGCAAAAGCAAGTGTTTGCTTAATTTTAGTTTTTACAGATTAAAAACCATTATGAATGCCTGGATCGCACATCAATGTCATGCCTGGAAGCACATTATATAAACAAGCCTATAGAAAAAAGAAATGAAACAAGCCTGAGCTTTAAGGACTCGCCAAGATTTGCTGTAAAGAGGCTGACGCAAATGCATGACTTATGCTTTTCAAGTTGAGACTGTAAGAGGCTGGACAGATGGCTGAAAAACATTGTGCAAGCATACAGGTTTTTATGGCTGGTATGACTGATGGCAACTGCGTAAACTGAACTAGAGTTGTGCTCAGTCAAGGCCAAACAGTGTGGTTTCAACCTGGAGCTCATCTACGTGCTGGAATAGGGATTCCTCCTGCAGTGCAGTTCAAACACGATAAACACTGAGCTTAAGACAAACCTTTTCCCTGATCCTTAGATATAGTTTGGCTCAGTCGTCTATTGACGTACATGAATGGTGTGATGCAATTCTGTCAGGACTGAATGTGCCAAGACATTTCAGCAAAAACTGTTACGATAAAGGGAGAGAACAATTTCTTGCTGTCAGAGGCTAACTGCAATTCTAAGAAAAGGGCCACAGAAAATTCTTCTAAAAAAGGAAATTTACATGCGTCAAGAAATGTACACAAAAATGTCATGACTTTATAAAAATAACAGGAAAAACCACTGAGAATCTACCTTATCAGGAGCACTTATTTGCAAATTTGTCCGTTCATCATGAAATTTAGAGATAATGTAAAGGCCAACTGGAATTTTTAACAAAAAAATTATAAATAAAAAAATAAAAACAAGAAATTGGAGATACAAGGTTTTTGCTGCAAAAGCAATGACATTTAGAACACATATGGGCATATTAACAAAACATATGTATTTACATATATAATATATATAAATAATTATATATTTCAAATAGTACTAAAGCTGCTAGTGCACTGTTGCTGTGACTTATGACTGTAGCCCTCTTATATAAGGAGTTTCAATGGCACTCTGCAATTTGTTAACTCTACATTCAGATGATGAAAATAAATGTTACTGAATTACTGATAGTAATTAACACATTCAAAGGGTAATTTTGTCTGCTCATAATATAGCAAAATGCCCTCTTTTTTAATACAAAAAATCTTCCTTAGTGTCAAAATTGAGCAAATAAACAAATGTGACTGTCAAACAATTAAAGCAATTAATCATGTTTTTCATGTAGTTAATCGTGATTAATTGCTTTAATTTTTTGACAATATCTATATGGGACACATTACATATACGTATTACGTGAGCATGTGTAGCAGAGCCCGTCAAACAAAACTCACCTTCATGCAAGACGTCTCTGAGCGTGACTCTCTCCCTAGAGATGGCGATGTCTTTGACCTTTGCCTTAGCCTCTAGCAGGGTTACACTTCTTAAGTCATTCTTCTCTATCCGCAGTGAGGGGTAGCCTAAAGCACACAAAAGACAAAAACATTATAAAACAGCTCTACATCCAAGTAATCATAATTAAGGAAGAAATGAATGCCAAACATAAACAAAACTTAAACAAGGGAAAATTACTTATGCACACCAACTGCGTGAAACATTGGCTTTGCCAAAACCAAGCCTTAAACTATGGCTTTTGCACAATGTGTTTTTAAGCATAACTGATTTTATCGCTCAGTTCATTTAGAGCTAATTGTATTAAGTGTTTACAGAGGACTCAAGTGCACATTGTGTTTTGCTGCAATGTAATTTCACATGCTTGAGACCCTCCCAAAGACAACAGAGAAACATGAAGTGAACAAAAGATAAAGCATGCCTGGTTCTGTAATGTTTGTGCGAGTTGGAGTGTTCTCCATGTCTCCTCATTTTCTAGTAAATCGTTTATTCTTTCTCTTATCTTATTCTTATGTGTATCATTTGGTTATAACAAACATATAAAAAGGAGAAAGCAATTATTTTCACTTTTTTTTTATTGTTAACAGTGTCTTGCAGTTCGCAGAAGACTATTCAAACTACTCAGTTATTATTACGATAAATACCAGATGACCTTTTAGGAGCCGTTCATGCAGAAATACCTATCAGTCCAAAGCGTTCGCTCTGTACTGAACTTGTACGGCTGCTACAGGATGCCAGCACAACACAAAGATCAGTGCTATGCCAAATGCTAAGCTTTTTAACCATGCTTGTTAGCTCTATATTGCAGTAAAGAGGACAGGGTACAGAGCAGTGGTCTCAGTCCCAGCGTCATGGAGCCACCGATTTATATAAGGAGCACTAAAGACAAGTGGTGAGTGAAAAGGAGATCCTGGATGGGTAAATTCAACAAACAAAAAAATAAATAAATATGCTAAACAAAAACTGACCATTACAGAGCTTCGCCAAAATGAAATTCATAAATGAAACCTGAATTTTTCAACCATCATCCTTTTAACATTACTGCAGTAGCTCAGATCATTACAATGGCATTTCTATCAATCTGAAGGAATGCAGTTTTTATATGTAAACAACACAATGCATGGGTGGGTGCAACACCTCCATGCGAACATTATATATGTTGGTAATAATGCACAAAACGCAGTGTGTGGTACTGCAAGACAGCGGGCGGAATCATGGTGACTGCTTACATAAGCATTAGTAACATTTAAAGTTGTTAGTCAATATGAGAGATTGGTGAGTGTTCTGACAGCACATAAGGAAAATGTCAGGGATAGGAATGTGATAAAGCACTCAAAAGACTGAGCCAGTGAGCAATTTACCAGATGGAACACAGTAATTGCACCCTTTCATGATTAACAAATTATAGATGTCAAAATTGTGACTGAGTAATATACGTTTCACTGAGCAGGCCTGCATTAACAACAAATATCTATACACTTTCAGTTAAATAGCACCACAGAGAAGTGTTAATGCTTTATGCTTCTCAACAGGAGCACCCCAGCACCCCGGAAACATCATCAAGAGCTTGTGGCCTGAGTAGGCATTTGTGATTTTTTTTCCCTTCCTTTTAACAAACCAACAGGCCTGTTTAAATTCTCACACATCCACAAATTTCCACCATTTATACCAAAACAACTACATTTCACCCTCCTATACAAGATCCAGCGCCTGTTTGGCGGACTTACTGCAACAAAGGAATCTGTCAGAATCTGTCAGCTCTATCACCTGTGTATTATAGTACGTCGCTGCTAACATAATGACAAGTGACAATTTCCCTCTAGAACTCTGAACTTTACTTCATAGTCTGCCATGATGACTGGGTTACTAAAATATAGCTTTACTGTCATTGGCAGCGCTGATGATAAAAAAGAAAACAAATTAAAGTTCAGAATTGAGTGGAAGACAGAATTTGTGTGGCTGGAGGTTTTGAGAAGAATGTGATGTTCTACTGAGCATGTGGTCAGTTACCACGACAGGCAGATGCCACAAGTTAATTCTTTACTGGGAGTGTTAATTTAGAAAACACTTTATTCAAAAGTACAGCCAAGCGCTGTTAATGATCTTCAGTGATCCCAATAACAAGCCAGCAGGGCCGACTGATCAAAAAACGATGAGGATCAAGGTGGGTCTTCAGTCTGGCCGGTTATAAAATGAAAAATGAGGATCCCTTTACATCAATTCCTGGTTCGACTGGCATAATGAAAAATGGAGTGGATGTGGGGACCCAAGAGAAAAAGCAACACCTGACAGTTTTGACACTGAGGCATGCTTCAGTACAATCTAAATATTTCTGTAATTCTAAATTCTGGCCACAAGATTCATTGGCTTGGTGGTCTGAGCGGTCAGTGTAAATTTTTACATCTGTCTAGCCCCGCTTCTCAAGACATGCAGTTCTACTGCACACACTGCTTCCTCCTCACTATTAAACCTCTGTTCAAACTCTGAAGCCTGAGGGCTCCTCCAAGTGGTGAAACTCAAAACATGTTTCCAAGCACTTAATAACTTATGCATTCAACCCCACAACATATATGCAAACAAAAAAAAATGGCAGTATATATACTTTAGCACCGGTGTATTACACAAACAATGCATATGTTACATTAACAAAGAATAATGTAGGAGACATGGAGTAATGTTCATGACTAGAGGTTTACTCTGGCTCTGTTTAAAACTCACTTTCTATCATCATATTAGGGATGAGCGATGTGTCAATATTGCCATAAAGTACGTCACAATAAGTTTTTCAAAGCATATTGTGGATACAGTCTGGTCAACTGCATGTTTTTTTAAAAAGTGGATAATTAGTGCTGCTTAACTTTAGTTAGATTTAGTGCAGTGTGTGAAATGTTAATAATGAAACAGGTCACTGTATTAATTTTTTGCAGGTTTTATATGCAGCACTGTTGATGCATTTTCTCTGTTCCAACTTAAAAATCAGAAAAACTATATATTGTGATAGTGAAAATATCTTCAGGTACCGTATTATATTTTTGCCACATCACGCACGCCTAAGTCATATAGCATAAAATCAGCAGGTCCACCAGAAACAAAGCATCAAGGCCAGAAAAAGACACAAAACAAGCCATGCATGCAAATTCTATCCTTAGTTGAGTGGTGTAGGTACCAGCTGTTGGCATTTTTAGTCATGCTGTAACATGCCATTCAACAAAGCTGTGTCTAGCCATTAGCTATATCTTGCTCTACACTTTCAGCTGTGGACAGTCCATTCTCCTTTCTCTCCTTTGACTATGCACTACACAGCATAAGGCAAACAACATTTTGAAACAGTACAACACTCATTTCCAGCAGTATCAATAATATTCATAACAAATGTGCTTGCCTGCTTGCGCTTTCTTTTGACATAGGCTTCCGTAACGCACTGCCAGTGGTGCGGTTTGTTATGCTAAATGGCAGCTGCAGTGAGCTCACAGCCTTTGCGACCAGTCGACAAAGAAAACAGCAAGAGTGCATCAAGAGTGCAGCAAGACATACTTTGTCTTCAACGTAAATAAGGATGGAAAGTCTGTTCTGATGACTGTGCTACCTTGTTGAAATATCCTACCATAGCACGTATTTATAGATAGATGCCTACAGAAAACTACATATTTTGATAGCTTAATTCACCTTATCAAAAATACTGCCAGCATTAAAAATCAATCATATTGCCAGCATTAGAAAAGTCAATAAGATATCAGCATTTTATTCGCCAGCATCTTGTTGGAATTTTCCCGTTCCACCTTAAATGATGCAGTAGTTACAATCTGGCGCCTCAGGTTCTATAATAAAAACAACAACCGTTGCATCATTTTAGGTAGTACGATAAAATTCAGACAAGGAGCGGGCGAATAGGAAGACAACTTCAGCCCCGTATTAAAATTTCAGGTATGATAGTTTGACTGTTTAAATGTCCTTATCAGAAAACCTTACCAGCATGACTAGCACGCAGACCTGTAAAGACGAGTTCCAATAGGTTGGTGATTGCTTCTGTTGCCATTATCACTGAAACGTTTAACAAGGTGTCTCATCAAATTATCGTCCTGATAAATGTTTATTATCTTATTCTTGAGCTAAGAGCCATAAGGGCTAACAACAGCTAAGCTAACTTGAAGTTACCTTAAAGCAACCAATTATGGCCTCACAATAGCTGTATTTCTATTTGTCTCTCATGCTGCTCTATCTGCACTGCTTGTGTGAACATGAGCCTCACTTTAAAACAGAGATCTAAACAAAAGACCCTCAATTTTCTGCCTTTGGGACCTGAAATGGTATTGAGTTTCAATATTTCAAAGTACCGTATTGATGTTGAAATTTTCAGTATAGTGATAACACTAATTGAAAGATTTATTTTTTAATTGGTATCTTAATTTACTTAATGACTGGATAGATCTTTTCAGATCATTCAATACACAGTTTTATAAGCCTATATTGTCAATCAGGTCAAGCTATAAGAAGATGTAGGAAGTATTCTGAACGCTTGTGCCTGTATATCTTGTGGATCTGTACTTTCCTCATGTTCAATCTTCGGTTGGAAATTGGTTTGAGTTTAATTAGACACTGTTCCTTTTTGGCGAGCCTAATCTCACTAACCGCTTATACTTATCAACTATAGGCTAATTACAACCACAGAGCTGCTTCTCAACCATTTAAACTTCAAGCATTTGTATGTAGGCCTGTGTTTCACTTCCTCATTGATATTCCTTATAAACTATGTCACTTATAAGTTTTATAGTAGTTAGTGAATAATAAGTCTTAGCATTAATAATCAAATATTATGTTTGTAGTTTATAGGGTTAAGCCCTTAAACTATTATGTACTAATACGACTGACTACGCTAAATGTATAGAAGGGAGGCGCTTAAGGATTCTGCATATTATGAATCTGGGCAAACCCATATAAACTGCGGGTCTAATATTTAACAATAGTTTTGTAAAAATCATTAAAAACAGTAATAAGTAATAACTGATACTTTTGCAGGCATGATTAGCACATATTGCATGCGTGTGTGTGTGTGTTGACAACTAGGTTAGAACAACAGGAACAAGAGTGTTAGTATGAGGTGTGTCGGAGACTGACTGTGCGATCATCTTTGCTCTCTCATTCCTTATAGGAGCAGAGCTGGACTTACTTTTGCTTTCTTGGGAGGGGACGCCAGGGTGGGGGAAGGAGGCGGCTGAGAGCGGCAGCATGGGAGCAGAGCCAGCATGAACGTCTGATGGAGGGATGGAGGGAGGGAAGAAGGGAACAGGGAAGGAAAGGGTCAGAGGAACAGAGGGAGAGAGGTAGATAAAGGATGGGTAATTATGGCAGGTGGATGGAGTCTATACTAACAACACATAAGTGCAAAAGCCACTGGGAAGGGAAAAAAGGGACAGGAAGGAGAAACAGACAAACACAACACAATCAGGAGGTCCTGCACTAAACACCTAGGGCCACTAGGTGGCAACAATTTGATAAAAATGCAAACATTCAGATTAGGAAAGGCCAATTCTGCAGTGAGCACTGTTCATGACTCATCTAAAACATCCGTCTCCATCGATGTACATGTTTTCCTCTAAAGAGAGGGCTGAAAAATTATCACAGTTTTCATCACAAGTGGATAGTAGTTTTCTGTATGCTGTATCTTCTCTAAAATGAACCTTCAACACTCAGTGATCCTTCACAGATTCCTAACTGAAGAAATCAGTAAGCATATCAGATGCTTTTCCACTTTGCCACTTACAAATACAAACTCTAATTTTAGCCCAATCAGGCCAATTTGAGGCAACGGGGAAACGTAACCACCAAGAAAACATCTCACTTCTCCTCACAGAGCTAAAATAACACTTCCTGTTGGTTCTGTCCAATTTCGGCAACTTCTTAGCAGGGTAAGAGGGTGGAGGTCACCAAGTTAAATGAGGCTTTCTTGCCTCTCTTCTTTCTACAAATAACAGGAAGTGTTTTCTCAGTCACTAAAAACGCAACATTCTTTGTTTGAAAAAATAAATAAATAAAAAATAAAATCATAAAAAAAAATGAGACGTCAAATGAGACAAGCATCCAAAAAGTTACACATTGCTTTTGAAGTTTTAGACTGTGGAGACTCTGGGGGGACACAGTGTGCTCCATCTCACTCATGCATGGTACTACTCACAGCTAGAGAGGCCATGATACCACATTTTCTTTTAAGATACCCATACAGACACTGAAGCACTGGCCAATTTCTTCAGAAAAACATTAAACCTCAAAACAGACTTTTTAATTCATGCACATCACTTCAGATGAGCATTGGACAGGAGGCCATTATGCTCCAACTAATCAATGCTCTACTACTCCAAATGCACAGTGAACATCATCAAACTACACAATGTGACTGTTTCAGATTAGATTTTTTACAGGACTGGATTAGGCCTGGGTGATATGTAAAAATAACTAGCATGATTTTTTCTAATATGAGCTTTGTGAGCTGCTTCTGGTGCAGATTTGTGGCGACTTTGTGCTAATAGCTTTAGACTGAAAGTGATTTACAAAGCCATGCGCACATCCTTTACATATTAAAAAAACAAGGCGTTTTCCGTCGTTATAGCGGAGTAACTCTAGAGTTCAGCTATAGACACCTTTGGAAAAAGATATATTTTCGCAACTGAACCACTGGGACACTTCAGCTGTTCAGAAAATACTGTATTTTTTACTCTAACCTACTGTAGCCTAATGGCTTCTGAAGGCCCCATAATAATCCAATGTTTTAATAGTAAAAGTGAATAATCACAGCGTTCCTCGTAATACTAAAAAAACAATATAAACTAAAAAGCTTAACTAAAACTATTACTTTTCAGAAAATAAAAACACAACTAAAACTATTAATGTGCCTTTAAAACAAAACAAAACTGAACTAAAATCAAAAGCTCAAATGAAAAACTAAATAAAAATAAAAACTAATGAAAATTTCACTACAATAACAACTCTGGTCAGCATTTTTCAGTTTCATGCACTCAAGCTAAACTTAGTTAAAGAGCCAGCCACCTGCACACTTCTTAAACGAACACGAATACCAACAGTTCTCTCTCTGCTCCCTTTCTCAACATTGTGATCATCACCTTTACTCAACTTTTTCAATCACTGACAAGATCATCACGAAGGCCTAGATTGGAACAGATCCATTTTTTTTTAACCTCAGATATCCAACCCAACATTTTCTGCTGATTTCGGCATCAATATGATACTACGTGTGGGTATCGGCTATCTCTACCTGCAGCCTTGCTTAAAACGCACAAATATACACACAGCGAGAGAGACATGATGCCCTAAGGATGCTGGTGCAGAAGAGGCCACCAGGCATGAATGTGTTTTTTATTGCAACCTTCTGATTCCAGTTTAGCTCATTTGATCACTTGCTACCAATTATATCGTTAGGTGGAGGAATGTGAGGTGCAGGCAGGGCGGCAAAACTAGCAGACAGACGTGTGACTCTGTCCCATTAAAAATACCACATAGCCTGAGGGGATTCGGGGGAAGAGAGGGTCAAGGCAAGGAACTGCTGAGAAGCCAGTCGCACACTACTGCACACAGTCTATGCCAGGAGTAATTCTTGGAACAATTCTAATAATACTGTCTCCCTTCGATACTTTAATTGAAAAAAAAAGAAACAGATATAGTAAGGCAATGAGTCACAATCAATTTATATCTTAATCTGCATGGTCGACAAAAATCCTGGGTAAAACAAAAATGCAGGTAAAGTGCAAAGGATTGTTTTTCTTTCCACCAAGTACACACAATAACTTCTTTACCAAATTCAAATCACAATATACAATCTCTGCTTATAAACAAATAGATTTAAAAAATTTTCTGCTTGCCAACACAAAAAGTCATTTCATTTGAAAGTTCATAACCTGCACTTTCAACAGAATTTCTCCATTTGTTTCAATGAGTTACAAGAAATAATTCACATCTAATTACACCAGGCTCTGTTACCATTGGCAATAACTGCAACTTCTAAAGGTTAATAAGAGACTAAAGCAGGTGAAAGAGGACTGTATGAATCATTGCTTGCTGATGGTGGGAAAGGTATTATTATGGCCCTGTGATGTTGATGGGGTGAATGTCTCTTAAATAGCATGTGTGAATAGCAGAGAGCGTGCACTGATCTTACTAGTGACGGGCGTGGCGTTGTTGGGGGTATCCGCCCTCAGGTACTGCGTGGTCTGGGTAGAGGGCTGGGACAGACCCTGAGAGCTCCCACTGTCACTCACACTGAAAAAGAGGAGAGGGATGTAGTGAGGCAACCTGCTTATTTCTATAACCAAATGTAAGTCATATTTGGCTATAGAGTCAAATATAGCTGCATAAAAGTCTGTGGACAACTTGTTAAAAATTCTGGCACTGGATTGAGGAAAAATCAAAACAAACTCAATAATGAAACTGTATTGTTGGCTAATGGAACTGTTCTGTAGCAAGGGGTAATGTTTATTTTTACATGTAATGTGGCACACATCTTCACGCCTAATGAGTTTTTGGGGGACTTCTGAGCCATGCTAACTTAGACAAGCCTTTCATTGGATGTAGGTGTCTGACAATGCTGACGAGTGCACACAGCTCTCTACCTTTAAGCTCCTCCTTCACAAAACATTGGATTGGTTTAGAAACTTCATGCTCAGTTGGTTTCGCGTCTTAATAAGTCTATGTTTCCACCCAAAATTTCTCATATTTTTCCCCCCAGACGTTCTTGTTATGAGATCATGTTGGGCCCCGCGAGAAAAGAAATTTTAAAGCTACAGAAGTTTCCATAATTTTCCTTCGTTTCATTTTTCTGCTGCCCTCAGATCCTGAATAGCTACTTTAACCAGCTGTGACCCCCAGCCCTTCAGAAAACTAAAGTGGTGTATAATTGTCCTAATTAAAGCCGTTAGCCTTGCACTCCAGAGGTTAAATATGGAGGCCCCTAAGGAATGAGAAAAGACTCTCAGTGGAGTCTCAACCTGCTTTCTGAAAGCCACTGAACCCAATCTTGCAGTAATGTCATTTACTCAATATCAGAAGCACCAAAGAGCTTCTTTCTCCTTTGTCCTACATCCTTGTTGGCTGGAGCACACACCAACAATACTGCCATTAAGAGTGAAGTGTGAACGCGTCCTGGTTCTAAGAATGATTGTAAAAGCAGTTGGGGATTCAAAAGCTGCTCTGTCCTGGGGCTTATGGATGACAACCAAGCAGATCTGATCTAACACACACAGAAATAAGATGAGCCTAACCTAATCAATTCAATTCCATGACACTGAATAACTCAATTGTATTCCAGTATTGCATTAAACGATGTTCCGCAGAATAAAACTTATTTGGGTCAGGCATCAACAAAAGAGGAAAATAAAATAATTTGTTGACTCAAATCAACAAACCTGAGCTATGCAAATCAAGCTTGCACTAAACTCATTAATGCTGTGCAAAAGCCCCGCAACAGCCTCTCTCCTTATGAACCTTGGCACGGCAGTCTGAACATGCTGGCATGTAGTCAACCACCTTAAAACACCCCAAACTAAGAGTGAGCGATATAGCAAAAATACAATACCATGATACTTCATGAAATTTTCACAATACACACATTTTTTGACATCTGATAAGTTGGAATGGAACAAAACCACAAGTGGTGCCACATTTAAAGATTTTTGCGAGAACAATGATTTTTATTCATTGTTCCACATACTGCTCTCTTTTCTAAAGAAAACTGCAGTTGGTCAAGTACTGATGATATGCTCAGAAAAGCATACTGTGACAATTTAGCACGATAATGATAAATATGTCATCATATTGCCTAGCCTTTGACTTCCAGATGTCAGTACTGCCCTTACAAACAGAGCCATACTCTTTCCTGTTGAGGAAATCCACTTTAGCCAGTTTCTTTTAGCAAACCAAATAAACACACAGAGAGAATCGACTTCCTTCTTCCTTCATATTCGATATTTAACCACTAAAGACTTTCCTCAGTCCTTCAGCCAAACACTACAACTAGATGACAAAGACCAAAACACACCTGTCATCCACCTCTACTCTCTTCATGCTGTGCAGGTGCAACACAGCGAGGATGATGGCCACAAGGAAGATGACGGCACAACACACCCCTACACTGATGTAGAACACTCTTGTAGATGTTGTAGGGGCGTTCACACTGTCTACTGAGGGCAAAACAAAGCACAGGGGACAAAGAGACAGAGAGAGAAAGACACGTTAAGACTTGTGGTTTAAAAATTAGGTATTGGAAAAAGTATCATTCAGGTATTGGCATCAGTATTGGCAGCTCAACCCTACAACTTTTTTTTTTGCAGTTTTGCAACAATGCATTCTTTGTGACATAATTTTATACATTTGTGCATCCATCTTGAGTTACTTTTTCAGATATGTATTTTTTTGGACTATGACAATAGTCATAAATAAATAAATAAATAAAAATATATGCTCAGCTAAGTAAACTCAGAAAATGGAGAATACTCACAATCTGGCTTGGTCCTGTTGGGGAATGGAGGGATTTTGGGAGGGTCTGGCTGCTCGATTCCTGGTTAAAAATAAAGTATTAAAAGGCAAGTTCAGGCAAAAGTGGTAAGTTTCTCTGAGCAGTAGCCAAAGATTAAGAGATAGGACACAACGACAATGCAGACAAGCAAGAACATGAACCATGTCAAACTGTATACAAGGCTTAAAAAAAAGAGACAAAACTAAGCAACAGAACAAAGTTGTGAGCACAAACTATCCAAAACTACTACAACTACAATTTTGCTGCAAAGAAATACAGCTGTTTAACTGGGACAGGATTCTTTTCAGCAAAAAAAGACACTATCGGGGAAAACCCACACACACACAAGCCCTATTTTACCATGAGGGAAAGGAAATAAGGACATATACAAACACTTTTTCTTCCCAGGCAGCTAATTTAGCTCATGTGCTTTAAATAAGCCAAGCATAAATTTATTGGGCATTTCCTCTAGGGAAGCATATGACAGGGAGACTGTGTAATTATCTTCAGTGTGTCAGTTTCAGACTGCCTCAGGGAGCGAGCTGTGCCAACTGCACAATACTCACAGCTCTCATTACAGAGGGAGAGGGAAAGCGTGGAGATGGGTTTGGATAATGGAGATAGTAAAGCACGCATCAGGAGAGTATGCACGCACGAGCACACACATACACACACAAAGAATCTGTATGACAGAAAACAAAAGGTGCTAAAATGATCACAAACTGAAGTAGTCTTACTTCTATAGCACATTTTCCTGCGTTTGAAGTTGAGCACTGTGAAGTTGTTGGCATGGATAGTCAGATTCAGCTGCACTGTCAGAATGGCCTCTCCATCCACTTTCCCAGAGCAGAAGAGATCCACTCTGAAAACTGGGTACGCAAAGCAGGTACAGTGTGTTGGAGGGAGCAGTAAATGGTACTGTACAAAGAGATATGAATACCAAGACAAACATGCAAAAAAGGATGCACCAATCTAAACGTTTCACTCCCAAAACAGATGTCAATACATACATACAAACATAGGTGTTTTTCAAATTCCAAATATGACACTGCATGAGTGAACTCTACCACAAAGTTTATTCTAATAAGGCAAACTGCATTGATATCACCGTAATGACCACAGCTCTACAGAGATCAGTGTTTTCCATCTACAAACTCTCTGTATCAAGTTTGGAGTGTTAAAGGGGAATTCCACCAAATGTTTTACATTTCTGCATAATTAAGTCATTAAGATGTAAACAAAGTCATAAAGAGTGTTATGATGTGATATCCTCAGAACTGTTCACAGCAGTGGCAATAAGAACCAGATGTCCAAAGCAATGTAATGCTTCTAATAGCTACATCACAGAAAGCTATTACATTGTTTCAAATACGTCGCCTGACACATACATACATACATACATACACACGCACACACACATATACATATATATAGTGCATCTACAAAGACTTTGGTGCCCAGAGGTCTCACAAAATCTGTCCCTGGCAACCCCTGGTTTCAATCATCCACACTGTAAAGAAATTTGGGTGCTAAGTTTCTCTATGATGCATGATTTCACATCAAAACACTTATTCTAAACGGTCTAGAAGTTTTCTTTAAATGACATAGAACGCTAAACTCTGCAGTGCTCTTGCCCTCTGGAACCAGAGATACTCCTGCTCTAGAAAGATTAAGAGAAGGCTTCTGCAGTGACTGCAACATGAGAGCAGGTGTGTAGGTGTTTTTGTGTCTGTCTCACCTGAGCGGGTGCGAGGGATCTCTCCCTGGGCTGAGATGTTGCTCTGCGGCTGGTCCATGGCTGCAGGGTTCTCCACCTGGAAGCCCAACCTGTACTCCACCTGCATATGACATTGAGAGTGGGGAAGGGAAACAGGGTCAGGCTGAGAGGATACACTAACCCAGCATTATTAATGAGATCGCATATCAGCCAGTCAGTTTCTTAGTAACAGTCATTATAAAAATACATCAGTGCATGTCTAGAAAATTTTTAATCCTTTAGAATAAACATAATTCTAGATTGTGGATTCTTAAGAAGAGGCTTCAATTTAAAGGTGAGTGTCACCTATTTAATGTGAAAACCAAGGGGCAATAATTAACACAAAGCTGACAGCCCAGGTGCTGTGGAGAGCTTGTGAACTGCCTGTGGATGTCTTCCAAAAGATTTACTACCCTGGAGAGTTCAAATCCAACACACCTGTCTTTAACAGTCAGACGCCCCTAAAGGCCTTCATTACCTGGATCAATTGTGTTAGATTTAGCATGGAGCTAAACTCTGCAGGGTGGTAGATTATCAGGACCAGGATTGGGCAGCCCTGAGTAATACTAATCAGAAACAACAAACACTCATGCACAATGCACAACACAACCTGGCAGTCTGGTATTCTACATTCTGTGTTTAAGCCACAAGTCAGAAACATGATTATTTTGATTTTCTTGGGCAAGATAACATTTCTATAAATTAAGGTCCAGACAACAATTATTTAAAAATCAGTCACAATTTTGTTCAGGAAAAAAATAATCACAATTACATCCTTGGCCATTCAGCGCTAGTTTTGACTCCTGAGTGACAGCCAACTTGAGGAAAATGAGGGCATCCTCTGTCATTTTATCATCTTTGTTACACAAAGATACCAGAGTAGCCAATTGGTTCAACCAATTTGTATAAGTTGTGAAGCCATCGATACCAAATGAGATTTATGTTAGCACACATAAACAGAACTTGAACTCTGACTACAGTTAGTGACGGATCATGAACTTGCAGAGCTTAATGCATCCAGGAAACCAACTAAATTATCCATGAATAAACATAGCTAAAAAGAGGTTTACATCTTAAACTTCCTTCATCATTACTGCTGTCTAGGTAAGCAAAGATCTTGTGAGACACCTCTGTCTCTGTATCTGACAAACTACAAATGTGGTCTTATTGAGGCATTTGTTGTAAAAAGGAATGAATAAATAAGTAAAATTTTGTTACAAACCAAAAACTGGAATATCTGATATAATAATGCACAGAGCAGCCAGCACTCCTAAAAAAACAGAATGTTAGTCTATGGCCTCCTATGGCCTTGCTTTGTTTGTACGCCATGCAGGGAGCACATCACAGCGCTGTTAGCATTCATATTGTTATAATGCTAACCACGGTGTAGTCATTTCATTTTAGCATAGCTTCATTCCTTTTTACAATCGCTGCCAGCAGGTACACATCCGCTTTAGTTAGGAAGCAGTTAGTACCCAAAATAATCCCAAACTGGACTGTAGTTTTGTTCAGATGAGGTCTGCTGTTTTAGCTAAAATAGACTCACAGTAGATTGTGCTTGGCAAGGCTGCACGCTCTCCCTTAAAGAAAAACTAGCCAAACAACCGAAGAGATAAAGTTAAATATCCTGCACTGGAAATACAAAAACAAACTTTAAGTAATATTCCATTTCAGTTCATGCTGTAGAGAACATTATAGTCTTGGTTTAGCTTCTGTAAACTATCATTTTCATTTTTATTACCCACCTTGCTTTTGGAGTGCCAGGTAAAGTGCAGGCTGTTGGTCTCGCTGGGTACTGGCAGAATGAAAGAGAGAGCATAATTGTTCACCACATCATCTCTCACATAGTACAGCTCAGCGTCCAGACCTGCAGAAACACACAAAAGAGCTTATCAGTACTGACCAAGAGTGGGAGCGAGGAGAAAATGAGAAAACAAGCAACACAAGCACCAATAAAGCTCTTCCTCCTCCATTTCCTTCTTGCAATCCTTTCAGATGAAGATGTAAAATACGGCTTCTGGCAGCCTCCGGCTCCGTGCCCAAGTGAACTGCATTTTACCACAAAAACATCCTATGCACTCATTTACAGACTAATGGATTCTGCAGAGCATGGGAGTACATTGGGGGAAAAAAACCATGGTAACACATTATGGCCACACAAAAACGTTTTCTTACAGCCATAACCCATGTTTGAGTCTCTTACAAATGTTCAGACACCATTCACAAAAGAACAATCCTCATTAAATACCAGAAAAAATAAACCTCGGAACTGACTAAATCATAATGAGAAGATGAGACGGCCGCCAAAGTGTGAGCACATTTCCAACAAGAAGAATATTTGAGGTATGGGATGGGGAAACAGTGGAATGAATACCATAAGTCTAAAATACTTTGAAATGGCCAAGACCTACATCCAATCAATGAACAGAGACCACTTCTCTCTCTCCTCTGTGGTGGCTTTCAGACTCAAGAGAGTGATGGCTCACGCTTTAAAAGTGTTCAGCTCTATACATTATCCCAGTTATCACGCCTATGGAGCGTGAAGAGAAATCCCAGCTATAAGATGTTTATGTTTAAGGTCATCACCCTTCACTATCATCAAACCAGAACAACCTTTCTCTCTGCTAGGCTGGCCTCCATTTTCTAATAACTCAGGCTAAGGACACTAATCTAAACAGGGTCTCAGTCAGGCACATTCCTCAGGCAGATTCAACCCAAAAAGCCTCTCACCCAGCCTGCAACACACACCTGTGCACTACAGAGGGGCTACATTTATCCCCATTAGCAGCCAGAAAGGTAGTGCTGATGGATGTGTGGCTGAGGTTTCAAGGACCAGGCTGATTCCCACACAACTGAGGCACAGGAACATGCGAAGTTGATTGACGGCTGAAATCTCCAGCCATGCCCTGGGGCAGCCCTATCAAGGCTGGGAGTCTCTGGCTCAGGCAAGTGGAGCCGGTCTATCAGCCTGCTAGGAGTCTGCTTTAAAGGAGGGGGAAGAGCGAATGCATTGCCCCCCCTACCCACTCTTAAGATAACAATAAATAGATCAAAGAAATCGGTTTTAGCATTTTTTTGTGTTCTTGTCATTGTTATTAAAATGCTGTCTATGTAGAACACAATACAGCCTACAGTAATAACCTGAGTGTGACAAGTTTGGTGTTTTGGCTCTCTTTTTCAGTACATCAGAAAGAAAGGAAACAATGACTACAAGGTTAAAAGGAAATTCTACCAATTTTCCAAATGTATGCATAACTCAATCAATAACATGTAAACAAAGTCACTCGGGGTGATTGGATATGAAATGCTGTGTTGTAGAGAAACTTTTTTGCAAGAATTTTTGCTACAGTGATAATAGAAACCAGCCATCTGAAGCATTTAATGTCTCAAAGATACCTCACAGAAAGTTCTTACACAAAATGGTTACAAATACATTACCATACATTATCTTACATGTAAAAACTCAAAAGACACGCATTTTCACTGGTTGTTTTGAGTAGCAAATAAAACGGCTATATTTGTGTTGCAGGCACCGTGATTCCTGGTTTGTAAGGTAAGAAATCATGGTAAGAAATCAGGGTTGGACATTTCTCTTCAGTGAACCATTTAACACATCAAACCACTCTGTAAGACTGTTTATATCTCAACAATTTATTTATGCAAGAATTTTCAGAAATTTGTGAAATTCTTCTTTCAAGGTGCAGAACATCTTTATTTCAAGGGAATCTATACTGGGTGAACCATAGAGAAATTGTTTAGTTACCCCTCCTTGTTCATTCTGCACTTTTTAATCCTCCCCCTTCCACAGGAGCATAAGCACTTGGCTAAATTAAAATTCTCTAAAATAAAACTGTTATGACTGCTTTAATTCTGCATCCCACAATGTAATTTAATTTGTGCTCATTTCAGGAGCTTTTTGGCTTCAATCCTGTCTTTGTAGTGTAATGCACCTCTAATAAAAGGTATACTTCAATCTCAGTCACTGGTTCATTTCAAAGCTGTAGCACAGAACTAAAAAAATATTCCTGTCCAGACAGACACTGTCTAACAGAGTGCACAGTGTGTGGATTCAATTTACACGTATTGTTCAGTTATAAGGCTTTTTATCAATTATTCCATATCTACTATTAAAGTAATATGTAGGTTACATGGTTAAGGGAAAAACTGAAGAACTGTATTCTGTACCAACCAATAGATAGATCCTTAGAGTTAAGAGCTTAAAGTCAAGTTTGAAGCTCTTCTATAAAAGCTGTCACATTAATTCCATGTGCCACAAGGGCTCAGAGAGTTGTCCCTATCACTCTCTCTTTAACTGTGTGAGCTCTTCTGCCCAATTAGAACCATTCATAATCATCTGGCTGAAGCATAGTGGTAGCCTGCTGGGTGGAAAGACCACAGGCTAGACCAGGCTGATGAGGCTGTGCCTGATATAAAGGGACGTTCGGCAACTCCAAACCTAATCAGCTGTGTGAACGCTGTGGGACAGACCCTGCCACAACGCGGGAGCCCTCGACAACGACACTGGTGATGAGTCCAGACAGCAGACCTGGCCAGCTTCAGTCTAACTATAAACACAGTGGAAAGAAAAAAATTGCTCAGCTGAAGGAAAGCACTGAGGCGTGAGGAATACCAGGCACACAGCCGCAGATTTGAGCCTGGTGTAATTACCTTCCTCCGGCTCTGATCCGTGTGACTTCTCTGGCCTTGCTTTTGTCCACCCTGCCTTGGTACCACTTAAAACCAGACCGATGGGAAAAGTGAGAGGAAGGAAAGGAGAGGGAAGGATTGGGTGGGTGGGTGGGTGGTTGGTTGTAGGGCATATACTCTAGTTTAATCACTCCTTTCTTACTCTGAATCTCTTGGCTTTGTACACTCTCAACAGCTCTGTACCAAAACAAGATTTTGGGAATTGCAAGTTGACACCAGGCCTTGCTCCACTGTGGTGGACTGGGGAGTGAGTGTGGATGGAGGAGTCAAAGGGGCATGACCCAGTGTTTTTATCACCGAAACCTACTGGTCAACCACAAAAAAAGAATGTATGAAAATGTAGCGGCTAATGAAAGGCTGTGAAATAAAAGGCTGAGAAATGAAAGGCTGGTAGGTTGAGCCACAGCGAGCAGAAAAACAAACTCACCAGTAACGGCTTAGTAAGAGTTTATTATAACACCTCCAGCTTCATTTTACTCCACTATGTTTGTCTGTGGTAAGCATTTCTGTTTTTTATGCAACGAGTAACAACAAGTCGCTTTCAAAGAAGTTGTGGTCAACCGCATAAGCTTAAAAAAAAAAAAAATGCCCTCACTCGTGGTTTCCGCTTGCTCCAACACCAGCCCTTAACTACTGCCATGAGGGGGGTGCCATGTCTTTTTATATGGCTTCAAAACCCCTTTCATGCTTGAATCACTTCCACTGTTCTGAAAAAGCAGACAGGCCAAAAGAGAAAACAAGCCAGGCCAAAGAGAAAATTCCACAAGGCTTTATCTCGGTGGCTCAGAAAAAGCCCTACAGTTCCCTCAGTGGTGTATCTTTCTATCTTATCTTCAAACTGACCGGGCTCAAACCTAGCCCAAGTGGGACAGAGGAGATGGCTTTATAAAAGGCATGGCAGAGGAAGGTAGGAGTGAGGCTTGGCCCAGATTTGAGCTCAGGAAGTAAGTGAGAAAAGTTTGAGTACAGAAACATTTGTCTGTGCTAATGCTGTGATTCCACAGAGTTGCAAAGAGTGGGCAACATTCTCCTTGAGCTGAGGCCTTACCTTACGGCTGATCTGGGTACCGCTGAGATTTATGCAGGTCAGTGCACGTCTCATAACATTAAATGCACAAGGGAGTGCAGAAATAGCTGAATGGAATGCAAATAGGTTAACTGCAAAATCACAATGTCTGATCTCACTGTATGCCTATAAATAGAGACAATAAATTACCATAGCACAGAAAATCTAAATTCCAGTTTACAAATAAATCGAAGAACAAAGAAAAGAAAGGGTGCAAAAAAAATTTGAATTACTATGAATGAAGATGAATAATATCTACACACTGCTGAGCACACACTTTGTTAACCTCATGAACCTGCACGTCACACATGTATCCCAGTTTACAACACTAAAATAAAGTTCAGAATACAGAATTGAAGCTTTGTGTGCTACCTTGTTTCCATCACTGTAAAAAAAAAATAAAAATGGAAAAGACAATCTTGTTGGATGCACCGTGTTCAGATTTGAATCATTATCAATTAAACTTGTGTCGGTGCTTTAGTTAAACAGAATCAGTTCTGTGGAGAGCTGTTATCATGCTATCTAAGCTAATGCTAACACTAACCGGCTCCTCTTTCCTAGTTTGCAGCATTGTTTAACTGTTAAACTGATGAGCTGGCAAGTTTTAATAAACTAAGGCCTAAAAAATCATGCCATGTGCTCATCTAATTAGTGACTAGGATTGGGCGGTATGACTGTAATACAGTATACTGTGAAATGAAAAATTAATGACAATATTTAAAAATTATGATGGTATTTCAAAATTACGACACATCAAATTTCTATTCCATGTCCGAACGAATAAAATAACACACTCCACAGATTTATATCTCACTGACTGGTGGTGTGGGAGCTCATCGATAGGTGGAGCTAACAGAAAAGGGGGGGGAAATCTTTGTTTTTTGGGAGAGTGAATTTAAAATGTTAAACCTAATTGGGTCACGGTGTGGATAAATTGCTCTATTACTTCAAAAAAACCCAGCATATTCAACACCCAATTTACTGTATAAATTTAAAGGTAGACATGAACCTTATTGTCATTCATGGTTACCACTTTAGAATAAGACCACCCTTGTAAAGAGTTTATAAATGGTTTAAAATGAATTCATTAATGG